ACCAAATGTCCAACGTTGCACCCCCCAGGAGCTACTTCACAAGAGGGGAAACCAATGCCCACATTTGTACCCACTCCTCTTTCTGAAGCCAATGTCTGGAAAGTCCAACAAAGAAGGGTTGAAGAGAAGCGAGCAGTGAGACAGACTGCACAGGAGCCAATGATAGCTCAGGTAAAGGTCCAGACCGGCGCCTGTTCTCCAAGTGATGACTGTCAAACTCAGGAAAAAGGAAAGAAAAGCAGCAAGCGAAACTCTGAGCCAACCACAAATCACAAAATGAAATGTGCCAACAGACCCCATGATCAAACTCACACTAAACCTGCCTGTTGGCCACCAGTCGAAAGTGTACAATAAACCACCAGCCCCCAAACCTGAAGCGAGTGTTTGGGAGGTGAAAAGGAGGAGATTTGAGGAGGAACAAGCACCAATCAACCAAATATACAACTAAATACAAGCGGGTTCGGTTCCAGATGCCAGAGGATGATGACTTTCACTAAACTGCTGCCTTCGGGACAAGACTCCATGTCAGTACTAATCCACCTGTCCTGGTCATAAACAGGTGCTAGAGACACCAGAGACACCAATGTCAAATCGCAAAATAAATCATTAGGCAAGCATAGAAATTTGAGTACATGAATTCATTGTTTTAACCAGAGCATATACTGTATTCGTAATTTGTAATAGGGTTGTATAATAAATCTGATAAACAACACTTAAACTAATATCAAAACTATACAGACACTCATCTGAAACAAGCAGTGATTCTGAAGAAAAAAAAAAAAAGGACAAAATTTTTAGCTTTCCTGAACAGTTTTAGAGTAATTTTGAGCTTTGGAACTAGTATAAGATCAAATGGTAAAATAAAAGAAAATTACATTCTAAAATAGGGGCATGTTTTATCTTTATCTTTAGTGTCGTAATCGGTATCGAGCAGAGTCAATTCCAAGTACCGAAATTGAATTAGAAATTTTAGCATCACATTTGTAATCACTGCTAGATCAACGCCTTCACAGAGATCTAATCACTCCACAAGCTTCCAATTGAAGATTTTTCTTTTTTTTTTTTCTTCGAATTGTATGGGGTTGAAGAATTGATGGAAAATACAGGCCAGGATGTTGGGTGAAACAAACATGTCCCTGAGGAGTTGTGAGAGAGTGTTTTGGCACCAAGGCACCAATCATACTTCAGTGTTTTCAATATCTGTCCAAAGCCTGTTTCCTCTGCCCGTCAACCACAAAGCACTCCTCCTGTTATTGCTCATTTCACATTTTCCTCTCTCTCTTTTACTTGACAGTCTTTCCTTTTCATCCCTTTGCAGTCACATCATTTTGATTTTCAACCCGCACCAAATCAATAAAAGCAGATTCTAAAATAGTAGTCGCTTTTTGAACTAGGTAGAATATTTTCATGTCGAAATTAGTGTGTGAACACAGCATCAGTCCTGTTAGCCAGACGCTGCGCTTGCAAGCCAACAAAGAGATAACCACTCATTACTTTATATGAACCATTTTCTTGGGTACTTACATTTAAACTACTTGGATGAGCTTTTTATCTTAACTTAACACCCACAATATTGCACTCTTTCTACCTACTTAGTTTTAATGTCACTTCCATTATCAGTTCATTCATTGTTTAAGCTTAGTTTTTCTGCAGTGGTTAGCTATTGAAAAGTGAAATAGTTAGCGCACTGAAGTACTAATTACATTTTTGGAGTGGGTCTGCACTTTGAGATAAGACACAAACAAAACGCAATTATCAGTATTGTCAGTCTAATAGTAATTGTTGAGATATACGCATAATTAAAAGGCAAAATAATGTTTACAAATCAGCTGTAATCAGCACTAGTAAGAAAACAGGCTTACAACAGGGATACATTAAGACTGTGCTTGTAAGTCCATTATTTAATCCTATTTCAAAGTTCTGCCCATTAACTTACACAATGAGCTGTTACACATGTTCCATTAAACTTAGTGCTCTTTGGTTAAAAAGCATTCAATAGCAAACTTTAGACACCCCATAGCTACACTTTGTTCTGATGTTGTTAATAGACTTCACCACAATACAGTCTGAGCAATGGCATTACTGGAGCTGCAATGCCCCCTGCTGGACACAAGTGACAAGACAAGACAAATAAGTGGCACCGAGTCACTTGAAATGCAGTGTACTGTATATTTCCCAAGGGTTTGGTGCAATCGCGTGTAAAGGCCCCAAGCACATAATCACACTCAATTACTTTTGACCATTTCCATCCATATTAAAGACAGGCAAATGCAATAAGACAAGGTACGATTTATTCGGCTTAAGGAGTTTAACCTCTATGGAGCTGTGTGTGCATCTGGCGTTAACAGCACAGTCTGGGGAATCTATACCAACTTACCTTAAGATCTTTGTGTGCAATACATTATAAAGGATTAAGGTAGCATGGGTGTCAAGTCGAGAGCTGTCATTATTGGTTAAACCAGGTCTGACTTCACACATGAGTAATTAGTCTTCTTCACTGTCAGTGTTAATGAGATGTGAAAAGAGACGGAGAGCTTCCAGCGGTGACCAGCTGCCCATGTCCACAACTGTTAGAGCATCAAAACCACTGGACTATGATGGATGAGCGACGAGTATCAAGCTTCATATCAGGGAATGTTTAGCTGCATCTGTGTTCAAGCAGATGCCATAATTAAGAAAGGCCACACAATACCATCTCTCACTCTGACTGAAGAATGACAGTTTACAAAAAAAAAAATTTAAAACAGAACTAAGTAACATTTTTACCTCATTAAACTTCACTGATGGTTAAATGTGTTTAAAGCATCTGTCAGCTCCACCTGCTGTCTCTAGGTAGAAGGACAATCTTGCAATATGGCCGGCACGACCCGAAGAGAGTTCTCCTTGGAAATCCTGTCTCTTTTTTTTAATATTTGGCAGTATTATTTGTTTTAGTATGTGAGTCTGTTCCAATGTCTGACAGTGTATTGTCATAAAAGGAGCTGTAGGAGAGCAGAAAGTTACTTAGTTCTGCTTTAAAATACCAAAAGTTAAATCGGTTGTTTATTCAATCCCAATCTTTCAAACCTATATTAAAATATTTCTAAGCACTTTTACTTTTTTCTCATATTGTCCAGCCTTAGCCATAATGTTTGTGAAACCTTTACAAAGACTTGTGTCCTTCCTAACCCCTAACTTTATTCAGACAACGGATGCTCCACGAACAACCATTAGCCTATTAAACAGTACAACTTGCACATAGGTACTGCCTGTCTTCTTGTAATTGTTTTGCGTATGTCTGCTCTCTTTTAGTAGTTAAAAATATACATAAAAGCTGTAATGGAACTATTCAGCGCAGAGTATAAAAAGACATTGTATTGGTTCAGATATAATGAAAAAATACAGTCATACAGTGAGCTAAAATACACCGAGCTCAGCATCGTGTGAATAAGAAAAGAGCAAATAGAGATTTGACCTCAATGTAATCCCCACCATTTTGTTCGCAAAACAAATTTAAAAAAATTTAAAAAGTACATATATGTAGTTTATAAAAAGTTCTTACCTGAAAACAGCAAAAGAATGGACAGGAGCAGATGGGAACAAGATGGAAGAGGGATGGAACGGCATCTGGGGAAATTAGATACACGGGTTTGTTTGATAATTCACTATTTACTTCATCATTAGTTTAACAGAAAATAGATAATGTGAAAACAAAACAACAGAACTACATTTTTGAACAAGTAACACTTCAGTTTGTGTGGGATGTGGGCAGATTCTGATGCTGTGCCAACCAGCCTGAGGAGGTAAAACAATAGTGAAATGTTTGTTCTAATCAAATCTCAACTATTTTAACCACAGAAGCAGCTATAAAGGTAGAGATGGGTAGAACGATACAAACATGCTGCTACTGACTGAGGCATTGAAAAGTATTTAATTTCGTGCAAATTTATGAATTAGGGCTGAACCATTTGGGAAAAATGTCTAATTGCAAAGTTCACATTTTAACCATATCATTGACCAAATTTACTAAAAGAATAAAAAGACATATGAACCAAAAGATATATGAACTGACAAACCAATACAAGAATCTAATTTCATAGCATGTTTAAGTACAGATCTAGACTACAGGATTAACAGTTTTTAGGCAGAATATAACATAGGATACTTTGTTGTTCGTGGGGAAAGTTATGGTAATTGAAAAATTGCATTTACGATTTGCTAACTGGGTTACAGTAACAGTGATTTAGATTTATTTTAAATCAAGCTACCCAACTCTTTGCTGTAGAATAAATTGTAGTAGCCTAAAAGTTGGAAGAAGAGGCATGAGGATGGAGTTCAAACTCAGAAGACATGAACCCTCAAAACATCGTGATAGTATTGTCCATTCCAATCTACTGTAGTTCAGTCTGGATTTGTGTCTGTTGTAGGGAGTATTATACCTCTGATGGCCAAGATAAAGAGAGCTGAGCTGGCAGTGAGAGCCCTTGGTATAGCACAGGAGTGCAATTTCTCTATCATTATTGATATACATATTTTTTTAAATGGGGTAGAGCAAAGATGATGGCTGCCAAGGGAAAATTCTAAAAGCATATTGGAGTATAGCTTTGGATCAGTTACAAAAGAATGGATGTTTCTCAACAAATCTTGCATTTAATAAATTCATAATGTCATACTGTGGAACATTTCAGACAATGGAACTGAGTTAACTTGCATTTATGGTTTTACTGGAATTATTAATTTTGCAGGTATAAACAACTCTTGCCCAGAAAAGTTACATAATGCACCTTTAATGTGTATTTTTTCACTGTGTATGTCTTCCTTTCCCAGATGTCCTCAGCATACACTCTCAGGAAGCCAGAAGTCAATGGGCTGTGAAGTACCCAGTGAGCCAGTAACAGTATGAGCTCATGATATTCATAGTGTAGTGTGAATGAGAGGGAGGAAGCAGTGCTGGCTCTTACATGTGTCGACCGCAGTGCCCGGGCCAGAGCAGATGAATGGGCGACCCGCTGGCTTGTGCTCTCTCCCCCTGACCACAAAGACCTCCTCTCGGCCTCCGGTCCGGCTGCCAACTCATTCAACCCTGCCGCGGTTCAACCTGCTCACTGCGAGTCACAGCTTTCAACACATGACCACCTGCTGCACATGGGAAATATTGGGAGTTATTTGAAAGACAGTAAACCAAAAGGCAGTAAAGTTTTTGGATTTGATATTTATACTACTAACTACACAAAAAATCTAGATAACATAAAGTGTTCATTTAGCGTAATTAAAGGGCTTGTACCTGATTTAAGCAAAATTTGTCTTGCTCCAGTACAGATATATTGTATGTCGTCAAAATAAGTCTGCCGTGTCCTGTCTGCATCGAGTTATAAAGTATTATATGGTCTAATCATCAGGAAGTGTGTGTTAGCATGCGAACTGTTTGCAGCTTACACAGAAATAAAACGAACTGACCTATGACTGAGTTGCAAAAATATGTTTAGAATACATAAGACAAGTGAGGAATAACCACTGCAAACTACTTAAAATAAACTAGATCTGTTTTTTTCACATTTTTAAGACAGGTACAACGCCTTTAAGACCCATTTTCTAGACCAGTGGCTCTCAAACTTTTCACCCCAAGTAAAGATTAGGCTTTCCAAGAACCACCAAATCTTAATCAAGTATATAACAGGACTATTCCACATTTAATCTAGGGACTAACCAGGTCTAAAAGTGGAATACTCATTTCCACTGTAGTTCTAAACAGGAAATTATCCAAAGGAGGACAAAAAAGTGGATTAAATTAACTAAAAATTGGGCAAACACACAAACTGAAGAGCTCTCAAGGGACCACCTGAAGGAGCTCACGTACCACAGTTTAAAAATACTGTTCTAGAAGAGACTGTTCTAGTCTTTTGTAGACTTGACTATAGTCCTTTAGTAGTTAAGCTGATGTATTGGTCCAAGTATTAGTAAAGTCATTATTTTATTAAGATTATAAGGATTTATATGCACAACAGCTGTAGCTTTTGGAGTGACTGGACTTCTAGTACTTCTGAACTGGTACTTCTCTATATGTTCACATAGAATTTTTTTGTCGACTACAGTCCTACAACTTTTGACCTCTTATTTAAACAGACAAGGCCCACCCACTTAGGCAATGGAACCTGGAACGTTCTTGTTGTGAGGCGAGTGATAGCACCTCAGACAATTCACATTTGTTTAGATCATATATTCTTAGTTAAGTTAAGTTTGACAAAAGTTAAATTTCTTAGTTAACTACTAAAGTTTCAACAACGTCTAAGGTGCATTCAAATAGACTTTCATAACGATCTAGCATACATTACATTTTTCACATATTACGCAATTCAGTACAAAAATTAAATCAGCTTTGGATTGAAAATTTGAACTATAAACTCAAGGACATTTCACAATTCATCTCCAAATGGCGTGGCGGAGACGGATGGTACAGACCCAGCAGCGGGCGTTCATAATGAGGGAGGAGGAGAGAGGAGGAAGAGCGGAGCGTCTGCCTCTCCAGCCCCTTCTGCTGGACATAGCCTCTCCATGGGACAGTCCGCACACCTGCTCAGGGGCATCACTCACCCAAATGAAACGTGTCCGCGCCGGATCCATGGAGGGGCGCTAATGAGACGTCGGATTAGCCCAATGTTCGGTTAGCTCCTGACATGACCCGAACCAGCTGTAAACACAAGCCTGGTAACTGTCTGACAGCTCAAGTATTTTTAGTATCTTCAACTTATCTGGCGGTATGAAAATATAGGACTAAACAGAGTTCCTCCATAGGGTTTTATTATTTTTGATAAAATCCAGTTGACAGCTGTTTTTAGAGCTCCTTGGTCTATTTAAATAAAAAAAGATGTGTTTGAGTTTTACATTCATCTTGTTTTGTACAGTGAGTCACTTTTGGCACATAACTGAACTCGGCACGGTAAAGTGTTGGGCCCCTAAGCAGTTTATATTTATACCAGTGACAGATCATTGCAATAGCCTACAAAATATATATATTAGCTTTACATTTATTTTAACTCAAAATATAACTTCTGAAAGCCCAATGTAGCCATGCCAACATTTTATAATTTACATTAACTTGATTCAAGATCCTATCCACTGTACAGCCTATGCCAGCTCTGAATCATCCTTATAAGACAGGCTTCCTAAACATATAGCTTTCTTAGTAATTAAAATAGGACTTATGTTTTCCTGGTTTATAAAATGTATGGGGGAAAGTTCTAAAACTCTACATGGCACAAACTCTTTTCAATCTCATAGACTACTGTGCATTTGTCAGACAGTAACAGTGTTTTTCTGTTTTGTCTGAAAACACAAATGCAGATTGCTGTAACTAATGACCAACTTTAACATATAAAATTGTCCAAAACGAATAAACGTGGACTTAAATTTGACAAAATTAAATATATGTTGAAGTTAAACTACCATATTACCTTTTAATACTTGCGTTTTTCATGAACAGTTCTGTTTTCTTCTTGGTTGTGAGTGTTTGCACGTATCTTTACGTACAGCGGCATAACTTCATCTGTCACGAGAAGTCCAGTGACAGTCCAACTTTACCCTTAACTTAAATTCTAAAAAAAAAAAAAAAAAAAAAAAAAAAGGTAATTTATATTAATGTATAATTGCATAAGATATAAATGAGCAAATACAAATAGAAAAGAGGTTCTAATTCCTCCACACGTGCCCACTTGAGCTACCGTACATTGGGTGATCGCGTTTGATTTTGGGCATGGGCGCCATCTTGAGGACTGTAGATACTGCTTTACATATTTAGCGGAATTGTTCATTTTAATGGAAAATTAACGTTGTTATATGAATTGTAATTGTTTCTGTTTCTCACCACTGATGGAGGAAGTAGTCAGTTTTGTTACTTAAGTAAAAGTACAGCTACAGGAGCAAAAAATACATGTCACATGAAATTATCTACTCAAGTAAAAGTCTTAAAGTACCTGTTTAAAAATGTATAGAAAGAGTAAAAACTTTTTTCATGCACATTTTGAGATCCAATAAAACAAATGTTAGTAGATTTGTGCTCAATTTGTTAAGCGTAAAGCACTGACTCAACCTAGCTGTTTTTGTGTCTATTTTTATTTGCTCAAACTACAAATGTGTTAAAAATAAACTCTCAACCTTTTCAGTAGGTCTCAAAAATAAAAATAAAAAAAACTTTCACTTTTGAGTTCTGTTCAAACATGGAGTGGAACAAGTACAGATACATGCTCTTAAATGTAGTGAAGTAAAAGTAAAAAGTACCTATTTTAAAATCTACTTAAGTAAAACATTTAGTAATCTGTACTTTACTTAAGTACATTACTTTAATACTTTTACTTGACTACCTTCCACCACTGTTTCTCAAAAGCCATATATGTTATAATAGAAAAATTAATGCCTACAGAAATCAAGCAAATGACAGTAATTATTCAGTCTTTTTTATTTTGCCATTATAAAAGTCAAGCATATAAAAATATTTCAAACATCTACATTCGTAACAATGAAAGTTAGTTTCCAAATGTGATCTCTCCCATTTTAAAGTGATACTTCAATGAGACCTTGCTCCCTTCGGCTTTGTGACAATTCCAGTCAAGTTTCCTGAAGTTTGGTCCAAATTAGAAAAGTACTTCTGCCGCTCTCCTTGTTTCCGCACACTCCGTCCTCCTGAAACCGGGAAACTGGGACACGAAGCTGTTCCAAGATTGTATGTTTTTTGGATATCCGGCTATTTTCTGCTACTCTAATGGTGTGGGGCTGACTAGTCCAAAAACAGGGAATGCAAGAATCCCACAAGAGGTTGCAAGACTGCTATGGGAATTCGAGCCTCAAGAGAAATATCACTTTAAAAACAAAACAGTGTATACAGCAATGTAAAAATAGCCCTATGGACAAGTTTATATTTTACAAGATGCTGGTCGGACTTATACAGTAATGTGTAGTAGTGTACCAAGGAGAAAAACGTCCCCAATCTTTGTTTTTCATCGGCTATGTAATAAAAAAATAAAAAGCTTAACAAAAAATACAAGATTACGTAGTGTACCCCTTTTTTATGTACAGCACAGTGAAGCAAATTACACCAATCTTACGCCAATCTTGCCTCCGAGAACAATTTCCTTAACCGCCGCTTGCAAGTGACTCAACTGTGACTCATCCTCATTTTGTACTATTAGCGTAAAAAGGCGTCTAAAAATTATTACATTCGAAGCGCTTGGCTGCGGAAAAAAAAAACCAAAAAAAACCTCTTGAGACGAGGACTACGGCTCTATCCACATGTGGCCCTGTTGCTGTTTTTTGCTAAATTACAGTTTTTGTGCAAAATGGGTAACAATTTTTATTTTCAGTAGTGTGTAAACAACCAGTAATGGATATGCGGCGGTACAATAAAAGATATGCTTAAAAAGAAATGGCCAAGTGGTACCGACACCATCTAAACACTGATATATAATATTTCAGTCAATGTTGTACTTTACAAACATGGCATTCGTGTGTCAGGCATAGACATAATGCAAGTTCGATTTCAAATGAATGTCTTTGTAACTTTTACAGTCTTGTTTAACTTGTCCCTCCTCGTCCACAGGCTTCCGTTTCTTTCTTGGTTACACTCCGCTTGCTTGAAAAAGAAAGCAAAAAGGAGATGATTTGTGAAGAGTCAGATCTCATTCAGAAAAAAGAGGTTAAAGGTGCACTGAGCAACTTTACTGGTGGAGTGTCCGCTACCTGGTGTCACCATGGAGATGTTATTACTCTGAAAGGAATGTTCCACAGTATGGTAAATGAAAACTTCAATTCTGTCAACTGAACAAAAGTTGAAGAGTGAAGTTGTCTTCATCATTTCTGGTGAGATTGCTGATGGACATGGCCTTATACCTGCCTTAAGGAAGGAGCAAACTACACTGAAACTAACACACCTATTTGTTTACACTTTCAGTTTGTTAGTTTAGTTCAACAGACCTGGCTAAGTGTGAGCTGTGCCTGGGTCATATTTTGCATAATTGTTCGGGCTCCTAATGGGTGCTCTGAGGGGACTGAAAAATTATGCAAAATATGACCCAGGCGCAGTTTGTCATCACTGAAAAAGTCTTCACTCGAAAACTTTTGTCCATTTGACAAACTCGAATTTTCCTTTTGTTATGGATCACACTTGGACAACTGAGGGATTATTAGACATTTCACAGTATGGCATCTATCGAAGAGTTAATCAATTACATAATAACTTAACTGTGAGGAGCGGGGTCATTTCACCACAGATCTGACCTGTAACTATGATTTGTGAGCACCTGTTTGTGTTCATGGACATAGATCAGTTTATTGCAATCCTGTTGAAAAATGGTCACCCCTCTCTCTGTAAGTGCTGCACTGAGCCTCGTCATTTTGTTCTTAAAACATTAATATTAGCCCGCTCAAGATGATCCTGGTGTTTTTATTTTGCTATTTTGTCCGTAAATAAATTCCTATTCCCAATATGAAACCAGCTCCAAATTCGCCTCTCTAACCGCAAGCCTCAGTGAGCTTCATTTGACTGGTGCCGAATGCTATGGGTGACGCCACACTCCCTTAGTCCATTTCTTTACACAGTCGATGTAAAGCAGTGACATCTCCACGGAAACAATTTGATAACGCACCCTCCACCAGAAAAGTTACATAGTGCACCTTTAAAAAACAACATCATGAGAATCGCCATTGGGCCGCGGGCCGGGCCGGTTGGCAACAGGTGGCAGTGGCTTCTTGAAGAAATCTGTAAAGGACAAAAGGTTGGAGTGGCGTCAGTACAGCCAGTCTATGCAGCACACAGCCCACAGAAGTACTCGGACAAAGACGTTGACTATGACACAGGGACGGATGACATATGGAAATGAGAGGGAGTACAGAGAGCCTTTCAGTTGATTAAGATGTCTGTCTCCACGAAGGATCCACATGCATCTAAAACATGCCTGGTGAAATGAAAGGAAGAAAATGAAAAGATGTTATGAATGTAATTAAAAGGGGCAGAACCTGATTTTTCTGTTTGGAAGTTTTGTTCAAGTATAGATATATCGTAAAAGCAGCTATTGGAACCGATCACTGTGCACTGCCTGCATTTAAAAATAAACCTTTTATTGTCCGCGAACCAGGAAGTATTTCTGGTGCGCTGTTAACATGCTAGTTGTTGTCAGTGTTAACAATCTGGCCTCTCATGGTTGTGAAAAACATTTGTCATTGTGAATAATTAGGATGCTAGGAATGGGTTATGAAAGAGAGGAGTAATTTTCGACTACTGCATTTAAATTGAACTACCGGTAGTTGTTTTTTTTTACATTCCAATTAAAAATCAGGTACAGCACCTTTAGAGGTCATCTCACTTCAGACAGCAATAATAGTTCAGTCAGTGTTTCCTCTACAACAACACAAAACACTATAAAATGATTATGTTACTTCTCCCTAGATTCAAAACCCAATGTATGTAGAAAAAAACACTGAACTTGGTGGAGGTGGAGTCATGCATATGTTAGTAAGGAAAACATATGTCATGCGTGATGTTATATGTGCCAGCACGGTGACAAGAACACAGCCCCACATACGTAACAAGCAGGTTTACCAGAATGCTTTGAGTCTCCCAGTGGCTCTAGTTTTGGCAGTCTAGAAGCTTTGGGTGTGGCCCATCCCACTAAAACACAAGGTAATTCACTAATTAGGACTGAAAAACAAAGATATTGTTATCCGCAGACAGACTCCGCCCTCTTTAGAATCTAGTTCATGGCCTTGTTACGGTTGGATTGGGAAAAGTTGTTACAAAATTCACACTTTAGAAAGATGGAGAGATAGCTTATTAGCTACTCAATGTATTCTTCAATAATGTATAAGACACTTAAATCTATCAATCTATACCCAGGTAATCCAGTTTTGAGCATACACACATTATTATTAGATTAGATTTAGATATTAGATTTGTGGTTTATGTTTTAAAATCAAGATTCAGTTCACAGTCCACTTTCTAACCCCGCAGTGGAGCATTAAAATTTGAGAGAAGATTGAAATATGAACTGCTAAACTAATAAAAGAATCCCATAAATTTCAGAACATATTTGCCGAAGTCTACACTACAGAGTGAATTTGTTGTTGCTTTCATAAATTACATTATACTGTAGATATTATGTGCTGATGTTAGTTTTAATTTTTCAAAATAATTGCAGTTTTTTCAATTTGTATGCAATTCAGATATATGAGCAACCTCAAGCTGTATCAAATATGTAAATCACGTAACACAGGATTACCATCGTGCATATCTCACTAACTGCTAATGACTGCAGTTTCTTTTTTAAGGTGAGATGTGGAAAAAAAAGAAACAATGTCTATTATTTTCAATCAGCTGACGTGCCTTGGACCCAGAAGTGACATCGCACTTAACAATCCTATACAACTCCAATGTTTTCAAAAACTGCCATTTATAAATCCAACCGGATAAAAATTCTATCCAGCTCGGAGTAAAAATCGTATGATCAAACGTACCTGGAGGAGGCGGTGGCGTGGGGCTTTCCGCGGGCCCTTCGTCCGTCTTCAGCGGGTCCACTCTGTGCTTCCTCTTCAGATGTAACTTCCTCGTCTTCTTCTTGCTCTGCTCGCCCACCGTCGCTGTGACACGTACAGAGCCATTAGAGAAATAAAAGCAAATGCAATCCCGACTTCCTCCTTTCTTCTTAAGCCTTCATCATTCGACGGCAGACATTATAATTATTACCCACTGTTATCATTAATTGCCCGATTCATTAAGCGCATTCCCGGTGAGTAATTATCAGGCGACATGCGGAGTTTAGTAAAGAGAGTTGGCAGGAGGGACTTGCTTAATTTAACTAGCAAACTCCTTCCACATTTTGATTCATGACAGACCAATCTTTATTGCCTGTCTCCGAGCATAAGGCTAATCAAAACAGATTTAATTTGTGGCTTTGGAGATGAGCCGGAGAGTGTACAGTATGCTTGCTAGTCCCTTGCCATTTTAAATTACTTCTCATTTCATTATGCTCGCTTTATATTAAAGTAATACATGCTAAGTGAGTTATTTCATTCACATTAAAATTCTTCTAAAAGCCTCACTAAAACTTAAAGGTGCACCTTGTAACTTTTCAGCTCGTCTCCATGAAGATGTTATTTTTTTTGCTTAGTATGTCAAATGAGCAGGTGACACTGTGAGGATAAGTTACAGGTCAGATCTGTGGAGAGGCAACTTGTTCAAAGGAAGAGTGCATGTTTTTCCAGGTCTTTTTGAACAATAATAACACCCATAATTAAATAAATGCAAAATAAACTTTAATGGCATACTGTGGAACACAATAAAATCTAAAAGGAGACAAGCTCTCCATCTCTCCATCAGAAAAGTTACATAATGCACCTTTAACTATAATTATAATATACTCACATGAACTGCCATTTTCAGAGTGTTGCCTTGTGTCATTTGACTCTTCACCGTTGTCTTCCTCCTCTTCCTCATGACCGCTATCTTTAAGCTTCTCTTGTAGCTCTATTTGCCTTTTTCTCTCTTTTTCCTTTTCGTCATTCTGTAACCAACACAACTTGTATTCAGTTCAATCTTGTTAAGAAGTTTTGTTATTTAATCTGAAGTACACACCTCTGTGATGACATTTCCGATTGGCTGGAACGGATTGGGTATGTTGTCTTCTTCGAGATCGTCCTCTTGAATTGGCCGCCCTTCCCTCTCTGCTTCTTCTCGCTCTTGTCTCTCTCTGTGTTCAAAACAATCTTTAAGTGCAAATGACAGGTATTCCAAGTTTTTCAAACTCTTACTCTGTTTGGTGGGATAGTACCTGTTGGAAATGTATCATTTTGGTTAAGTTTCTGGGCTATTGTTCAGAAGAAAAGCACAAAAATACAGGAAGTAGCAATAAGTTCTAAAACTAATTACCTCTAACTATGTCATCAACACCAAAAATTGCAGTAAAGCTTTTCATCCAAGGAAGATATTTTTCAGTTAGTTTAAACCTTCATTTAACAAAACAAAGATGTAGTCATTTGTTTTTATACACTATAACTATTGAAACCAGTGGACATTTTTCCTCTTTCCCTCACCTCTCCTCTCTTATCCGCCGCACTCTCTCCGCCCTCTCCTTCTTGTCCTGCTCCTCCTGGGCGAGCTGTTCGGTCGTGTCTTTCTGCACGCGCTCAGTGATGGCCTCATAGTCTTTGGCGATGTTGTTAAGGAGCCAGTTGAGTCCCTTCTTGATGGACTTGTCGACTTTCTTACCATAGCCCAAAACAGCGGAGCATGGTTCCTGATGGATTAAGTTCACAATAATAATTCTTTAAAAAAACATACGGTCTTTCTGACTTTAAGTGCAGAGAACAGGTGCAGAGACACTTACGATCTGACAGAGACACTTGTTCTCATTGACAAGTTTCTCTAGTGACAGGTTTTCAATGATGTCTGCTTCAGCGAGTGCCCCCTCTTTGTCCTGTTTGTTGGCAAGGCTACAGGTGGAGAGGGAGACGGAGACAGAGAGGGAGAGAGGGAGAGGGAGTGTGTTAGAGTTGAACAAAAAGTACCATCTCACATGCCCTCATCAATAAATCCTTTTTCATTACCTGCTGCTTATGAATGTGGGAAGGATTTTTTAAATTCATGAACGTTTGTGTCCCTAGATATTAAGTGAGTTTAAATTATAACAATAGTAATGTTATTTTTTATTTTTTCACAGTCAATGAAAGTTATTTGGGTTGCCAGATTGCATGGCCAAAACCAACTTATGTCTTCAGTGTATGGTAGCTAATTGAAATACATCCCACTTTAAATTGTGATAGCTGAGTAACAGTGCAAGCTTCAACAACTAACTTCAAACAATACAGCTTGTATATTGGGTCACAAAATGCAGCCTTTGATCCCTACTAGGCATTTTTGACTTTTTAATATTTTCTAACAGTCTATGGGAAAAATTTATGGAAAATTTACTTCCAGAACCTGAACGAGTGGTCACTGTTGAGCTCCATAGGAATATTTTAAAACTCACTTTTAAGTTTTCCATATTGAGTAAATATAAACCCCACAAATTTGCGGATAACAATATTAGCACAGAATTATTGTTCAGCTCCATCCACACTTGAACCATGCCAATTCATCAGCAACTGTAGGGCTGAAGTTTTAAAGTTGCACAGTTCTTGTGAAACTGGCACAATTCTACACACTTGCCTGTTGTTACTGAGTTGTCTGTTGTGGCCATATAATGATCATGGTCTAAACTTCAGTAGAAAATGTTGACCCCTTACACTAGCACTGGTTTCCCTGATATCCGCGGGTGTTGCAGGACCTCTGCCATGGTCTCTCTTGTTTCTTGGATCCTCTGCACGTCTGTGGAGTCCACCACAAACACCACGCCATGGGATTCCGAGTAATAATTTTTCCAAATTCCCCTGATCCTCTTCCCACCGCCCAGGTCAAAAATAGTGACCTCGAATTTTCCCTGCTTCAGATCCACTTTGGAGAATCCCACAGTGGGCGCTACATCTTGTGGGTTTTCTGAAAGAGAGAGGGCAAAGGTTAGGAAAGAGTTTTTGAAATATCCAATGGTGAAAAGTGCGAAAATGTTCTAACCTCCTTGAATTCCTCGGACAGTGGCAGTTTTTCCTGCATTGTCCAGTCCCACCATGACCAATGTTACTTTCCTGTGGTGAGGAGAAGGGCAAAAGTGAGATGATACAGACACAGTAAACAATCCAAACAGCTTAATACAACTTGTGCTCTATGTAGGTGTCCTTACTCAATATTAACTGTATAAGCCAATAGGTATTACATGTTATGACGCATTTAGAGGCATAAGTAGGCCGACTAATATTATAAAGCCTTGTAATATCATTGATCCACTGTGTCATTTCCTAAATAGTAGATTAACTCAACCCACAAATTCACTGACATTTGAAAAAAATAAATAAATAAGACAATATTGCTTAGTTACTGCATATTCTAAAGAAGCCTCAGTACTTTGCTCTGTACTGCCTATAACTCACTAACTCCCAATATAAAAAATTAAAAACTATAATAATACACTAATAATCAACCAGGGCACAACTGAAGATACATTGGTTAAGCACAAAGCACATATGCAGACAGACCACAATTTATGACCAGAAGTCGTGAATAAGGAAATAACAAACTCTGACCAAGACAGTAATACAAAATGCAACAATAAAACAATTACACAATTCCGTACTTAACTTTTAAACTGCCTCCGAAAAGACATGAACCGAACTATCCATTTGACCGTCCTCTGAAGCCAGGTGGACTTCATCAAAGTGGACTATTCATGTAAATCTCCAAAAAGAGACAAATCTGAACTGTAGCTAACCCATGACCACCACATCTTACGAGCACACTGACAGTAAAACACGCACCGAGAAGAGCAGCTATGGATTAGGAAAGGATTTCAGAGTAATTCCAAAGGATCAAATGCCTCAGGTACCACGTGGCTTTAAAGCTCTCTCAAATAAATTTTCCTGTGCCAACTGATTTCTCTTACACTGTACCTACATTGGCTTTACTGTCCAACATGTGGGTTGTGCAGGATATAGTAGTAGTTTTAGTAGTCATAACCTGATTTCATAGCAACAAGGGATATGATAAAAAGATACAGAATAATCCATAATCTATATAATGGACAGCGAATTATTTGATACATTTTAAGGTTATGTTATGTTTGCTGTTATGTCTTACTTAACACTGACTTCCTAATTGGCATTTAGATGGTTAAAACATCTGCAAATAGAGCTGATGATCTTGTATTGGGTTAATGAGAAGATATAAATGATACTACCAAGATTTAAGTATCTCACCTCGCCGGTTCTCTCCATCGTTTCAGCCAGTTGCAGCAGTTCGCCATCAGACTAAACATTGCAGTCCAAGTATCTGGACTTGACTGCGATCAAGTGGTCATCCAGGCGTCTCTCTCCTCTCGCCTCTCCTCCAGCTCCGTTCGTGGTGACAACAACAAAGCGTCCAGCTGGAGAGGTCTAGCTACATAGCGATTTGACTTTTGTAACCATTTCAGGGGTTAAAGCGTGAAATTTTACCACGATCGCACCGGTTTACGTTTTCCCCATGTGTAACGTTTGGCGATCGGTAAGTAATTTGCAATGACACTGTCGTAAAACAATAATTTCTCCCAAATCTGTTAGCAATCTCGGGCTAGTCTATCCTCCGATCCATGATCCAACCGCGCTCGCTCCTTTTGTTTTGATTAATCCGCGATCGAAAAATCCACACATTTGTTTCTAGTTAACAAAAAGTAAGAGAAAAAGATTTAAAATGCGTTAGAATGTGGATTCGTGACCTACAAGCCTATTAGCCCGTATGTAACGGTCTGCTTTGTTTACGCCGTGTCCGCTGCTGCTAGGCTGCGTGCGTCATTACGTCATTTACGTAAGCGTTTCTTCTTTTCTTTTCTTTTTTTTCTTTTTTTTTTTCTTTTTACGTAGTCAACAAGTTTGTGACACCATGTGGATTGGAGTGTTACCTACAACCACATGTGCTCATTCTATAAAATAAATCATAGAAATTCTGTTTATTCAGATTGTAAAAAGTCTCAACAGATATATTATTTCAGGCACACATTAGGCTAAGTAAAGGAGAAGTAAAGATAATAAGAAAGGAAAATGACTACATTAATATAGCTTAAATAATTAATATAGTTGTTTTTTTCTTTTTCAATGTACAGTATACGTTTGCATTTTGCACCGCAGTTGACCATGTGAGCTAGTGGCTACTGCGCATGCACCAAGCGGAATCACAAGCGCTCCATCAGGCAGGCTTTTGGTCGGTCCAAGGTTTCTTCCCTATTTTTATCAGTCGTCTATAATCGATCTGTAATCTATCTTGGGACCGACTGTAACTACTTTGTGGCTTACGTGTCCTTCTGATTTTGTTACACGTAAGTAATTGTTTCTCTGGTGGTTTAAATACTGGATATTTTGCGATTTTTCACCTGCTGTCATATGACAAGTATTTCAAGAACGAATGCTAAATCCAAGCAGCACTAGTTTGGCATCACAGTACTTTTGTGAATACTGTTTGATCCTATGCAAAAATTTGTAGTAACATGGCTTTGAGAAGTTTGGAGTTTAAAGCATTGGTGACTATAATTCTGTGTCTGGTCTGGTTGTCTTGTATGACCGTGAGTGGTGTTCATTTCCAAGAATAAGAAGTGATTTCTTGGGATCGACCACCTGCTTATTTCATTGGAGATGTTATTATTTTTCTTGGAATGTTAAAAACTACTTCCATAGAGACAAACATGTGACACCAGGCTAGTGAAATCATGAATCAATTATGAATGTACATATGATATATATGAATTTTTATAACAGGTGAACAAGTTTTTCTAGTTTGTTAGAACAGGTTTTTTATACTTCTTTTTGCATGTCAACAAAAATTTGCATTTTCAGTTGTGCCCTGACAGTACTAGTAGTATTCTCAAACTTTATTCGATTAGTATCTGATTTTTGAAATTTTTCTCAACTCTACTTTGACAAACATTTTTATAGTTCAAAATGTTTCACTTTTTTTTTTCAGACTCACATCCTCAGACCCTTCAGTATGGCCCGTGTTTTCGTATATGGAACGTTAAAGAAGGGCCAGCCCAACAACTACCGCATGTTTGACACCTCCAACGGCAAAACAGAATTCCTCGGCACCGCAAAGACTGTCGAAAAATTCCCCCTTGTCATCGCCGGCATCTACAACGTCCCTTACCTTCTTAACATTCCAGGCCAGGGCAATCAAATTCACGGAGAGATCTACAAGGTAGATGAGAAGATGTTGGAGTTCTTGGATGATTTTGAGGGCGTTCCTACTCACTATCAGAGGACACTGAATAAGTTGGAAGTGAAGGAGTGGGTTGCAGGTGCGGATGGGGAGACACTGGAGCCCGGAAGTATAACAGAAGCCTACCTCTATAGCACCAAGACATACAAGCCGGAATGGACCAAATTACCTACTTATGACAACTACGACTCCTATGGGGACCATGGACTGAAGTATGTTGAAAGAGAAGCACGAGATTAATAGAAAAAAATATGTAATCAATTTTTTTTTAATAGATGATTTCATGAAAAGGTCAATATTTGTGTTACAAAATACAGTTCTGGGTCAAATACTTGAAACTATTTTTCTATAAATGTGAATTTCATTTTGGCTTCTTCTTTTCAGGGCTATCCCAGCAAATAGTCTTCCTGCTTACGTGGACTGAAAACCAATAGGTATAGGATTTATATCAGGTGCCTTTCCCGACTCTACACACATTTATCCATGCTTTGAGCTGGAGCACACTCCACTATGGCTGAATTGTTTTGGTCCAGACTAAATTACCTTAATATAGAGATAATATAGAGTTATCTTATATTTATATACACACACATACTGTAATTAATTCCACATGATTTACTTTCAATGGACAATACATATAAATCCTAGTTCAGAAAATAAACTAGAATATGTGAATTTGTAAATTAAAGATGCACTATGTGATTTTTTTGACTGTGCAACTTTAATGCTTTGGTACTGTCTTAACGCAACTATGTGGGATCAAATATCTTTACCTCACTTTGTCTAATCAATGACAATTCACATGCAATAAAAAAGTACTGATCAAAACATAATTATAGTCTTTTATTTAACATTATAAAAATCCAACATGAGTGAATGTATTTGGCATTTGATGAAGAATGATCTCCATGGGAACAAAGATTTATTTTTTTTAAGAATGAGTGTTACGTTTGACATTTCACAGTGTATCAAGAACTGTACAAAAGCTGGTTAAACATTATGGCAGTTTTACGTTTATCAAATTTCAGAGATTGTCATACAAAAGTCTCCACAACAACTTGTCTAATTTCAATTCTGTACAAATATTACGAAAAAGAAACTCGAAACATAATTTTTTTGGCAGTGTAACCAGCGCTTACTGTAGATTTAATTTGAGATGATTTAAAATTATAATACATGTGAAATCTTGTTGGGAGAGTTAAAATCAATTGTATTTACAGAATGTTGCCAGATAAGACTAAAATGATCAAATTACAGACCGGTATGGTGCTAGATTGTGCAAAGTAGTGTTTTACATAAGAAAGTGTTAAGGTCTTGTGATTCTTGAGTCATTTAATATTGGTTCAATGGCATTTGTGCGGGATCGACGTCAGGATCAGTACAGGTCTTTTCTGGTGACGGAGCGGTTGGAAGAGCAGGTGGCACTACGAATCACCTCCATCCACCTGTAAGAAATTAAAGGGAAATAATGTTAAGGTCAAAGTCAAATGTGGCTTGGTCATAAAGATGCAAGGAACTGTTGAAAGGTTAATATTGAACTCTCGTTGATATCGACAACCAGTGCTATTTCTTAAAGTTTGTTTAGTTATGATCAAATTCAGCGTTATTTATTGGTAAAAAATGTAATTCACAGCAGTATAAACTATTTTGTGTAACAAAACTTTCAGCAAAAATGATTTGGGCGACTATAACCGAAAAGAACACCATGGTATATGATCAGTGATTTACTGTTAATTTCATATAGGGCTCAGCGCAGCTTCTGGGTAGTTGCAAGCTATTTAGGTGTGATTTTTGACAACTCTAATATGAAATAAAAACTTCAACATTAAAAAAAAAAATCTTGAATGTGTAACGAGAAGGTATTCATGAATATATAGCTCAATTTAGAAAAAAATGTCAGATTATGATTAGTCAATTCCTACTCCATTTTCTAAAGCAAAAGTGGCAAAATGAAGGTAGCTTGCTAAAAATGAAAGAATAGTACCTCTCAAACGTGTACTCGCTCTCTGATCTGAAGTAGTACACGTGGGACTTGAAATGCAGTTTAAAAACATAATCTTTGTGAATATTTTCGGATTCAGACGGGACGGTGACAGAGTAGCCCAGCAGAGGGAGACTGGCCAAAGGGTAGTCGTCCTGCTCAAAACAAAACATGTATTACAATCAAAGTAGTCAGGTCACAGCAGCACGTTAATCATTAAGTAAGTAAAGTGTACCTGGTGTGACTTGTAGAAAAACAGGCTGAAGTTGGTGAAGACAACCCACAGTTTTTGCCAGCCGTTGCTGTTCTTAAACTTCCGCAACAAGTTTCCTGAGAGCTGGTTCTGCAGAAGAAAAGACAACAAATATTAGCTGTAGGACAACAAAAAAGGTTTACAAACAGTTAGTAGTTGGTCTAATAGTGCTGTGCAATCAAATTATTGTTCCAGTCTATTCCAAAAATTGTGCAATAAAAAATAAGTGGATGGGAGCTACTAATAACTGATAACTGATTAATGATACAAACAAATTTCCTACTTTTCCATGATAGGTCCTGTCTGTGAAATTTCAACATTCCAAAATAGCAATCGTTCAGTAAAATTGTAAAAAATTTAAATTGAGGTAGAGAATAGGTTGGAATTCTGACATGGAATTTGTTTTTTAACTCTCACACTGCAGATTTGTTGACCTGGTTTATCATTATTAATATCCCTGTAATTACTGGGCCTATGCACATGAGCATAAATAAAACAAAAGAGAAATTGTTTTTTGACAATAGCTTCAGGGTGGTGCCAGTATTCAATACCAAAGTGATTGTTGTCAGTTAAAAAGACTTTAAACCATAAGATTAATACGGCCAATTTGCGGAGCCAATCCCTAAGTAATAAACTTCAACTTTTGTGGACCATAACTTTGAATATTTCTTTCAAAAACCCTGCCCTTCATTTGGAATTTTGACTTAATCTTTTTTTAGACCATGAATGCAACCTATGACACATCATCAAACTATACTACATATTATGGGGAAAATACAATTAGAGAATGACTGCAATACTGCACAGCTCCAGCAGAGGGCATTACAACTCCAGCAGCATTAACTTTCCCTTCCTGAAATTGACTCACTGGTCTCTTGCAGGTCTCTGGGGCATTCTGCCATTGACTAAACATTTTCAGCCTCTGGCAATGTCAATGTGGTCAGATGGGGTTAAAACAGCAGACACAAAAGAAAGACTGGAGCAGAGGATGAAAGGAGAGGGGGATGGAGGAGAGGAGGAAAGACAGGGGGTAAGGCAAAGGACATATGGACAATGGCACTGGATTAAATATTAATTCAACCCTTCCTCTGGCAAGAAGGTGGACAAAGCTGGTTGTTGTTATCAGTGATTGAGTCATTCTTTAAAAGTGGGAGCAAATATGACTTTTAAAATGAATGTTCTCATTGGTTTGCTGATAGTTACTGCATATTTGTTTCATACAAGTAGCTCAAGGGCTTTGCGACTAATAGAAACCATTAAGTAAACATTTATAGATTTTCATTTTGGTTATGTCCAGCTTTCGAAAATAACTAATTACAAACACTGACAAGGCGAAAATGCGGTAACTCGTAGTAATATTTTTCATGCATACTTTTTACTTTTGGCACCAGTAGTTGTAATTTTAACAGAGTAAATTAAAATATAACTGTGTAACTGTCCCTTCTTGAGTACAAATTAGCAGTACTCTTTCTATCACTGGATATTTGTCATGAAAAAGCCATCAATGAACAGGGCCAATTCAGATTTACATACAATCTATACAGTGGATAGAATAGTCATTAAAGCACGTGCTAGTACCTCCACAGCCACACTGAAGTCCACCATGGAGACGCTGGTGTTGCGGTGCCAGCACACGTGTACGGTGGTGTTGCCGCGGTGACCCTGGCGCTCCAGAGACGTGCGTGAGCCGCTGAGCTCCTCCTCAGACTCATGCTCCGCACCGCCTTCCCCTGACAGCTCTGTGAATGAATAGAAAGAACATTATAATTATAAGACAAGTTAGAAATAATATCTCACAAATGTGTCGTAATTTAACTTGTTGTGTCCTTTGGTCTGCCATTTCCCTGGTTCCATGGAGATGCAATTGCTTTGACTGGAATGTTCCACAATATGGCATTAAACCTATCCATCTCCCATTTAATCAGTTACAAATGTTTATAAAATACATTGAAAAACTTCACATTCTTGATGTGTCGCTTTTACACAGACTTGTGACTCACTTGTTACTTCCTCACCTGCTTGCCTCCATATTTAAAGCTATACTGTGGAACATTCTAGTCAAAGCAACATCATCTTCATGGAGACTAGAAAACCCTTCACCAGAAAAGTTTCCTAGTGTACCTTTAATTCATTTTACTTGGTTTATTGTGCCAGCTGCATGTCACACACATTTTCACTGATTATATTTATCACGCCAACTGTAATTATGTTATAATGGCAAATTACAACAGCAAGTTCAAAGCATAGATATTAAAACCAGCTCGCCAGGCCAAAATAATGATAAAATTCCACTACAATAGAACCTAAATGACCCTTTTGTGAGCAGCTGTAAGCCAATACCTGCTAACTGTGAAACTATCAAATGGACGTTGAAAGCCGCGGCTCTGAGCAACAATAGACACGTCAACTCCAAAGGTGACCGGCTCGGGCTACGTTTAGCATTGTGACAGGTATTTAAAGAAAGACATGAAAAGATATCAGGTGATGTTTAAATGTGACGAAAGATGAGATAGAATAAAGCTGTTGGGTTAAACAAGGTGCGGACTTCAGCTGTCAGTTTGGATATAGAAAGGGAGAAAGGGAAAAAGGGAGGGTGAATAGTCTTGTGCAATAATAAAAAATGACATAAATGAGACTACACATCATGACCACTTGCTTATTATTGTTCCCTCAGTTGGTCTTTTTAATAATATAGATTTTAGGAAGAGCTTGAACCATGTTGTCTAATCATTAAAATGAAGCAATCATCATTTGTAGATTCTCAAAAGATATATATGAAATGTTTTTTGTTTTTTTTTACCTTTGAAATGTCAAGTAACCTGATAATTATGTCACTTAAGTCTCCAAAAATATTATAATCAACCTATCTATCAATAAATATAACTTAATTTGTGATATATATTTATAAATGTAATTACAAAACATAAAAATGCCAAAAGAAATGCCATTGCAGAACATTTGTCAAACCCTATTGTAATTTTTTCTCCGTAAAACGACCTCACATCAACCGCTTTCTAACAGGTGCCTTGAAAATTACCCGTTATCCACTTAACCTGGCTGTCAGAAGTCATAATGTTCCACCTATTTGATGTATATGAGGTTAAAGACCCTTAAATACAGGACTCGGTCTATGTAAGAAGCACGTTCGCTGGATGCAGTGAGCGGGTTAATGGGGTCTGGCAGCTCTGGCGGAGAGACATCTGCGTAGTGAGGATTAGAGTGAGTGAGTGGGTCAGAGTGGTAATACGGGCCTGGGTGTGAGGGCCTGGTTGTGTGGGATAGTATTGTTCAATAAATGATAGAACAGTTTTTTGGGGTGGATCATTTATCATGGGTACTTTTTCTTTGTACCATTGGAGAACTTCTGGTATTTTTCTGTACTATTTGATAGCCAGTGCCTCTGCTCAATTTCATTTCTCTCCAGCAACTAGGTCAGGAATCAAAATACAATAGACTGTTCGCAAAAACCCCTGAAGTGCAAGTTCGGGCACCAGCCAATCATCGAAGAGCCATACATTCAGTGTTGTCAACAATTCCTGAGATCGAGGATTTAAAGCCAGAATAAAAAGAATGTTTGGTGAATTTCATCAAGGGGAAAGACCTTATTGTCCTTCTTCCTACGGGATTTGAGAAAAGCTTAATATACCAGTTAGCCCCGCTACATATGTCACGACCAAATAGCAGTGATTGGTTAAATGATAAAAAGTACCCGCCTACTGTCGAACGAACAAATTCTAACACTGCAAGGTCAGACGGTTTCTACAAAGTGAAACCGGCTGATGAATGAGGCTAAAGATTTGAGCCGTAGTGGGTTGAATAAATAATTTCTGTTTCATTAAAGTTACAAATCACTAGTGTCATATTGCTATTTGATTATAGCAGCTCATGTTTTAATTATACATTGCTTGTTTTTTATAATCCTGTTTTGTCAGTGGCATAAATTAGTTTTCAGAATCATTGTTTTAGTAAAAATGCAATACATTACAGTTGAAAATGTGTTATTGTGACAGGCCTAGGGAGGGTCTAGTTGGGTGAGACCGGTTGTGTGGGCGGGTGAGCTTACTGTTGTCTGTGGGGCTGGACGGGAGCAGGTCTGAAGGTGTAAGGCTGCTCTGTTCCGCCAAGTCTATAGCCATCCTGATGTCCTCCACCCATCGCTCCATCTCGGACCCACAGCTACAGAGGATGAGAAAACAAAAAAATATAAGCTGAGAAAGTTTTTCAATAGATAGATACTGACAAAGGAACAGCATTTCTACTTTTAATGGAGGTGTTTGTAAGAAAAGCTTTAATGCTCAACAAGAGAAACGGCAGAGAAGCTTAAAAATACCATTTTACAAAATGACAAAGAGGAAATTGAATTGTAATAAAATAACAAAAAAATTTAAGTTTTTATCATGGTGTAGCCAGATACTTTAAAGTAATTTTTTTTTATTCTTAAAATGTACACAGATTTTATAGATTTGGCATCATATAAAAAATAAAACAAAATTATAATTATAAAAAAATACTATAATACTGATTTTGACATAGGACATAGGACTAGTCTTGCGCAATTTATGGAGAATTGTAAAATCATAGGTAGTTTGTAGAAGGAAGGACCCTATAAGTTTGTCCATCATTCAAATGTTTCAGGAAATAATACATTAAACATTGCCGTGACAACACCCACCCCAACCAAAGCAGAGATGAACTACAACTTTAATGAATATGACCTATATCAATATTTCAAAGTGTTTTCCTAAGACACCCACTGCTCTCATTTATAATTCATAACATGCACTTCTTGGTATATTAGTCTTTTAGTCATTCACGGTGAAAGTGAATATAAAACAGTCACATTGTATTTTTGTAAAAGGACTTTGATACTTTACCTTGCAGCTACTACCACTGACTGTCTCTGCCCAAACAACGTGAACGAATGAGGCACTCCCCATTCTTCTTCACTTTCACGGATCTGAAAAACAAAATTAAAACAAACGAATTAACACCAAAATTTGTTATAAAATAGGTTCATTATGAGGATTTGGAATGGGGTTACCGTCATTCCATAGAGGGGTAACTGTCCGTGGACTTTAAACTGATTGGCTGCGGTCATCCCACGACTGGTGTAGACTAAGCAATCACTGAACTGGATAGAAGACAAAAGGGAGGTTATAATCTTGTCAACACCAATATTTCATCAAGTGTTGCCGGGTAGAAAAAGAGAAGGAGAGAGAGAAAGGGAGATATTGTACCAGGAAAAACATGCGCTGTTGTAGGCCCTTCCCTGATAGTTTGCTGAGGCAGCCAAGCCGGATGAACTCCTGCAAGTCAAGCAGAAATGTGATCTGTGTTAGATCGTTATTTACAAGGTTATAAGGGACACAATGGGAGAAGACTGACACTTTTAACAGTTTTAATGGAATTCAATAATCAGTCAAATACTCATTTAACCATGTTGTACTTTACGCAATAATTGTAAATATGAAACAGTGTGTAAAGTGCAAAAGAGGTTTTTTGTTTTTTTTTTTGGTGGTGGGTCCAAAATGTTCTTTAATCAATGGAGATGTACAAATACTTTTAGCCAATTATTACCGTATTTTCCCCACTATAGGGCGCACTCTTAAGCCTCCAATCCCATCAAAAAATGACTGCGTGCCCCGCAATCCAGAGCGCCCTATACACGAATCCACTCAGGTGTCCCAGCACGACTTCAGTAAACTACAAAGCTGCACCACCCGCAGCGCACGCAAACACGCATGGAGCAAACAGCGACCGCGCAGCCACACTCATCACTCCAAGCGGACGAGGAATGGAACGGAGGAACGAACTGAAAAAGCGAGTGCAATGTGCCACTTCTAGCCACAACTGAACAACTGAGTCACTGAGAACACGCCAACAATCCAGCGGTCCCAGACAGCACCCTCCCTACACGTCAAAATTGAACAAAGCCGAGAGTCACCGTGAACGCGCCAAACAAAGTCCGACTGACCCATCTAACTGTGTTTCGTTTAAAGTCCGGTGCGGTTTATTTGTGAAAAAAGTTCCAAAGTAGTCCATCCCATGACAGTGCAGTCCTTATAATCCACCTAATAGTGCGGAAAATGCGGTAATATGCCTGCAATTGAATACATAAAAGCACAGTACAGTGTATTGGTTATTACACAAAATTACAAAAAAATAATCATTTAAATATATAGATGTACATTAAAAATGCCTTAACGTTTGTTTTGGCATCTAAGTCCTGTCGTAGTCTTGATCTAGTCGAATTTAGTTCCGGGTTCAGTCCAAGTTTGGCCCCAGTTTTAATATGAGGTGTCTTGACATTTTGCACTTACCCTTCCAGGTATAGCCAGGATGTCAATGCCCGTCAGATCTTTCCTCAGCTCGAGAAGCTTCTGGAAGTTCTCCATCTTCATCATGGTGCCCTGAAGTTGCAACACCATTTCGGAGATCTCTGCCAGGGCCGCTGCGTTGTGACAAAAACAAATTATAATGTTGCGCTCGTCTCCATGGGGATAGACACATTTAATGCCACACTGTGCAACAGGCAAAGCAGTAAAAACTCTATGGAAAAAAGCAACACTTTCCTCCACCAAAAAAGTATCATATTACATTTTTAAAGTCAGTCTGTTTCTCACCTCTGCAGTCCCTGAAGTCTTCATGCGTGGGCGGGTAGTGCTTACAAAGTCTTTCCAGGATGAGTTTGTAGTGAAGAAGGCGGTGCAGGGGTCGAAGGAGGAAGACATTGAACGGAAGGTAGCATACACGCTGTTGCTCAAACTCTCTACATAACGTCTCCACTTTACGCACAGATCTAAAATAAAGAAAAATAAATGTTAAAATGGTCAGCAAATTCTGTTAAAATTTTGCTTAATTTAATGGCACCTACCGACACAGCTTCTCCAGTTCAACCAGGCATTCGGAATGTTTTTGAAGATGGACAGTAAGTTGCTAAACACAAAAAATTACATTTTGTAAATTTGTATTTGCAAATAACTTGAAGTGTTTTTTTTTTTTTTCTATTTATTACTTGTTTTAGTGGGATAATATAAGTGGTAAATATTCTGTAATAGTTTTAGATCAGTAAAGTGGCAGTTTGTGGGAAAACTTTAAAAAGAAAAATACAAAAATACAGGAAGTAGCGGTGTATTGAAAAGGAATACCTCTACTTATGTCTTACGTGTTTATTAAATTCTATACAAAATAAAGGGACAATTTGAACAGAAGTAAGGCATTTTTCTGACAGTTTAAACCTTGATTTGACAAAATAAAGATGTTGCAATTTGTTTTTAAAGTCGAACAATAACTATTGAGCAAATTTTACAAGTTTTGGCCCTTGTTTAGATTATGGTTGCTGGGTTACAGTTATGAAATTACCTGTACTTAAGCAAAAAGTACTTACCCGTAAGCCCTGGATATTTTTTAAAAGAATATCTCCTATCCTCTGGTAATCTCCTTTAATATGGGCATTGGATCGACCCTCCCTGAAACGACAAGGGGGAAACGTTGCAGTTGCGTGCAGTTGCCAGCAGATGTCAGAGCAGAGCTAAAGTTCACGCACTCACGTCTGGATTCAATTCTAACAAACCATTCATTTTACCAGAATGCATTTGGGCGACATCCAAGAGTGATTTTATGGAGCCTTATAATTCAGGTTCATCATGATAATTACAAAACTGTTTTCGTTTAGTATAATTGTTTTTGTGCAGTATTGTTGCCATGGGTTCAAGGCAACACTGTTTTACTTTACTATAATGGAAGAAGTAGATATGAACAAGTTATCTATGCTAATATCAATATAGGCCGCGCAATCATAAAATAGATACTATGTCACAGATAAATACATTTTAAAGATATAGTATGTCACTTTTTGGAGGTCGCACATCAGCTGTATGATTCCATGGAAATCTAAAGTTAAAATACTTACTTAAAATACCATATTTTGGAACATTTCTCCATGACAATAGATACATTTTTGTACCATAATGTGGAAGATTATAGCCAAAGATACAACATTTCCATGGAAACAAGCAGGAGGAGTCAGGTTTGTGGAGATGCAAGCCCATTTTTCAGAACTATAACAACTATAGCACACTTAAAATGTTTAGTTTAGTGTTTTTCGGCCTAAAATGTTATGGCAATCTATGACCTACTGAACAAATTTTGGAATATAGTCATTTTTCTTTATATATTGTTTATAGAACAAGACAAATATCATCAGTTGAATATCAGACCGTTCTATGCTTTGTCACTCAACATTAGAAGCTAGAAGCTGTTTGCTCTTACAATTCATTCATTGTTTATTGTTGGCGTCAAAGTCATCACCTCCTCCTATTTGAACAGCTGCTGGAACAATACAGCTGATACAACAAAACAAAGTAACATGTGGGTCTATACGTCCCACTGGTAATAAAGACATACGATTTCACAATTTTGCTAGTTTTAATAATATAATATGCAAATTTCAAAGTATTTTACAAACCATTGTGCAAGTCTCTGCTCCACTTCCTTCAGAAATCCCTCGTGGAACTTGTAGACGGGTTCGTAATTGGCCAAGATAAGGTTCTTGACTGAATTTGAGAAGGCTTCGTCATTTGCTACTGCATTCTGGAAAGACTAAAGGAGACAAAAAAGCCAATTAAAATAAACAAACGAAAAAAATACTACAATACTTGCAAATATTCTAAGAAGCTAAGCATGAAAAGGAAATTCTAGTGTTTGTTTTGTTTGTTTTTTACCAATTGAATTCAACCAGCCACACCCTAAAAGCAACACATTAGTGAAGGTCTATTAAACAAATTGACGCTAGCTTGTCTTGATGTCTACCCAGCTGTTCACATAAAGAAGGGATGGGGAGATAGAAGCAGAGATGGAGAAAGGGGAGGTGGGTGTTGGTTTTTTGTGGTGCCAGCCAAAGAAAATATTTAAGAGGGTTTTTAACTGCATCAGACACGCCTTCCTCCCACATCAAAGACAGCTGTGGAAACTACTGTTGCAAAAAATAACAGCTGACTTGAAGAAAAGGAAAGAAAAATGCCATATAAGACGGCCCGTGTAGCAAGGTGTTCCTGTTTACTATGGAGTGCTGGGGTCAGAGGTCAAGGTCAAAGCTCGCTGTAAAGATGTAAGGCCCTAAAGGTGTCCCTGTTGGTGGTCTAGTAGTTCATCTCTGGTTAATGACAAGATAATAGTGGTACTAAGAAGAGTAAGGGAGTACAATAGCTCATAAAATATTCAGTGGATTTTAGGCTTTTTTGCATTTTTTTAAGGCCTGTATCAAATCATTTTCAAATAATTTTTTACATTTGTCTTATCCCAGAACAGATATGTTGTAAAAGCATTGTTAGCATGCTAGTTATTAGTCTCCGTTGGTCTCTAAACATTGTGAAAAGCAATTAAAAACTCATTGTGATGAATTATTAGGATGTCCGTAACGCACAAGGTAAGTGAGAAAAAACTTTGGATCACTGCAAACTGTTGAAAATGAAATAATTCGTTTTCACGTTTTTTAAACAGAACAAATCAGGTACAGCGCCTTGAGGTTTAGGGAGAAATGATTCATTAAAATGGTGCCAGACTGCCAAGCTACAAACACAGCGCCAAAGTTACATTATAATTTATAAATGCTAATTAATTGATACACCCGTCAAAACAGCATTCAAGGTTAATGTGTTTTTTACATGCGAAAACAGGAGAGTCATTAAGCAGGGGTGCTATTATAATGATGGATCATCAAAAATTCAGAAAATGGTTCCCTTGCTCTAACTAAAACACGGTACACTGTGTCGACGGTGTTTTAATAGTATTCTGTACTGTTCTAGTTCTTGGCATTTTAGAACAAACTAGGTATATTTGCAGCTTTGCGTTCGATTTGCGTGCTGCTTCTAGTGGTCACTGCAATTCAAGTACTATGTGACATCACACAGGACTTCCCAGATTACAATCAGGTGTTCACAAACATTTCACAATCATAAATTCAAAGTTTAAATTGCACTCAAAAATTAAGCAAGAGAGTTACTGCTGCTTACTTCAAAATTGAAATCACAATATGGGTCCATAAATGTAAAAAATAAAAACTTTGTTATTGTAAACTGTATAGTCTACTACTAGAATAAACTAAAATTAAGGGCATCCAAGTCCAAGTTTAGTTTAGTCCACAAAAACCTTATAATCACACTCTTTGAAATGTTAAACCCCAAGTGCACATTCTTGGCTTTTTATCCTACATTAACTTCTGTGCACAGTTGTATAGTCGCAGTCTTGGCTCCACAGAAAAGATTTCAGAATGTGTTAAAAACGGCATTGACACTGGACATTTTTCTTTTTACCTCAGTGACGACTTGCAGGTCTTTGAGGTAGGTCCGCTCGGTGGTTAGCAGTTCTTTGGCGATGAAGTACGCCTTGTCTGTGGGAAACTTCTGGACAAAAATGAAGAAGTTAGTTACCAGAAAGATTTTTAAAAGTGCATATGACAGGTTTTCATGTTTTTCTAATTATTACTTGGTTTGGTGGGATAGTAATTGTGGTAAAATTTATCATAGTTTCACATCAAGTTGTAATTTGTGGGGGAAAAAAAGTTGAGAGGAAAAGTACAAAAATACAAGAAGTAGAGTTGAGTTCCAAAATAAAAAATTCCATCCAAAATCCAGGAACAATTTACACACAAGGAACAGTGTGTATGACAGTTTAAAAAATCATATAATAAAATAAAAGTGTTGTCATTTATTTTTATTAGTCTTATCATAACTACTGTGCAATTGACCCTTGATAACATTATGGTTGCTAGGTAACAATTACAAAATTACCACAGCCTATGTCAAATTAGTTGCACACGTCCAGCCAGGAAGTCAAATAATAAACTTCACCTATCTGTTATTTATGTTTTGGTGAAATTAGTAGTCTAACCTAACCTGTCATAAGCACTTTAGATCTTCTGTGACATTCCACACCACCCACCTTTCTCCTGGCTTCCTCCTCATCCTCGTTGCGGACATAGCCAGCTTCGGTAAGTAGCGGGCTGGTGAGGGGAGACAGCTGGCGGGCGTCTGGGCTTTGTGGCACAGAACCGTGGATGTTGCCATCTTGCCCGTTCACCGGAGCAGTACCGTTAACAGCCACGTGGGGGCTTCCCAGGGGAGAGTCCTCTGAACCTGGGCTGCCTGGGGGGAGGAGAGAGAAGGAAAATGAGGAAAACATAAATCAGATGTAGCGGAGAAGTAGAGAAGTACTACGAGGCTAAGTGACTAGTATGAGATCTACACATCTACGTTTTAGAGTTGATTTATGGGCCCAAACTATGCAACCATAATGTTTCCCACAGGTTATGACAAGTCATTATAAAATGTATAGAACAGAAATAAGCAGTAATAAAAAGCTAGTAATGTTGAGCAGCAGTTTAAAGTAGTTGGAAGTAAGAATGCAAGGATTCAGTAAACACAAACATATCAAGAAATTAGTCAGAAATTAAAAAGTGAAAAAGTAAAATATCAGTTTTGATCTGAGTTTTTTTGTTTGTTTTGTTATGACATTAATACTATGTACTAGCTATTTTTTGTTACTTATTGGGTGTACACCACCTAAGACCCAGAGGTGATAAGTTTGAGAAACTTGTCTTCATTACTGTCATTTTAATTTGATCCAAACTAAATAATTGGATATTCTACACAGTTTTACAATACTGTGGTATGGCAGGTATACTGTATTCTGAAGATTTCTTATAATGGACTTTTTAGGGAAATCACAGCCTTATATGGTTTTAACAGTAAACATAACATGAACAAAAACACAAATGTGACAAAAGATTATATTGTTTAATAGAACCTAGTTCTACCCAGCTACCAATACTACAAGATGGGCTACAATGTACTAGATTAGAACTTCATACTTGCCCTTCTTTCCACAGAGTCCACTGTTACACACCAAACGGGATCATGGGTATAACCATGGCAACCACTGAGTGCAGATCTGTGATGGGTGCTATAAAAAAAACTCACCACGGCACAAAAACTACAATACCACCACTACTACTACCAATACTAATATTACAAAAACACAAACCAACAAACAGAGATGGAAATATGGCAAATGCACACACGATCTAGTCTATGACGCTACTCTACGACACACAACGATGGATGGGATGAATATTCAATTTCGTCAACAATAAAATCTGTAATTCACATAGACTTTTATTGATACTAGTGCTCACAATCAGTTACAGGAAGGTGAGGAAAGTAGAAACAGAAAATAAAGTGTTTGAAAAGAAGAAATTTGCAGTGTTAAAAGGGTGCCGCCATTTTAGTGGTATCACAATCTATTATGCGCATTTTAAAAGCCTTATTAATGTTCAAACTTCATTAAAAATTCACATTATAAGTTTGTACAGTGCGATAATGTTACACAATGGTAGTGAGTTGCAACAAGTGACAGCCAATGGAAGCAAAACAAGGCATTTCCAACTCATGACGTTTACCATAATGAAACAATGCTTTGACAGTTATTGAAATATTTCCTTCAAATTCATTATTAACTTTCAAAATACAGAATTTCCAACAATACGTGTGCCAGTCAAAATTTGCCTTTTCAAGTTGGATTGGCCATGTTTTGTCCTTATGCGAGTGTCAACCATGCTCAAATGGCTTCCCAATACAAAATTCAATTAGTGTGAAGAATTTTTTTGTTACAGATGTTTATGAAGTCATTTGAGTCAATCCAAAGTGAGACAGAGAAAGAAAATAAAGGACAACAGTCAGTTTATAACATGCATTTAGTGAAACAATAATAGTGAAAGGTTAGCAGTTTTGCCCCACCAACATGCTTCAAAACGGTGCATTTGGAAAGCAGCAAGAAAGCAGTGCAGAAGTGACATAGACCTGTGATGACAAATAAAAGTTCATTTTTATATAAGAAATTTGCTAAATAAAGAGTGCTTAAAGATATAGAAAAATAACAGAACACATTCCTAGTCATTGTGTAGTGAATCAAAACAAGTTTGCTATTTACAATTCTCACATTTTCAAATACAGGCTATTCTAAACCCGATTGTATCGCTAAAAATAAATGACTAATACATAGATATGGTTCTGCTAGTCTAGGTTGTGTAGGTGTATAGCAGTCAAAGCCAAGCCAAGCAAAGCAGACGTTATGAATGACCACATGTCAACAAAATGGCTGGCATGTCAGATCGTGTTGCGTTTAGTGTTTTGTGCAAAACAAAACAAAAAAAAGTAATGAAAAAAAAAAAGTATCATGCACATTTAGTACAAGTGGTAGGTACAAAAAAATACAGCTAAATCTTGCCATTCAAATATATGGGAAGCAATGTTTTGTTCTTGTCCTGGTCGTAAGTGTAAAAAATCTATAAAATGTTGCTACCACAAATTACAGTGCAACTTTGCCCAATACAGATAGAAAAGCTTAAGAAAGTGCTATGAAACAAAGAACATGAAAATCAGACGAGCTCCTAGTTAAGAACTGTCCTTCCATAAATCCAGAATAGCATTTTAAATCTACAAGTACAAGCATTTCCTAAGAGCAACTGCCTAGAAAAAGGGATGAAACCGCTAAACCCTGAACAACAAACCTTCAAAGCATTCCCTCTCCAGCTATATTAAAGCCATTCCTTTACAAAGGACATCAAATACATATTAAATAATTACAAATGCTAGTCAAAAATCTTAGAAAACTGCACTAACGCTAAAAGTTATAAATACCTAAACTACATAATCATTTTTATCCATCCAAAATTGTATTGCCAACATCTACACAATTTACACATTTCTGTTATGGCACAAGTGGGTGGATTATGATTTAAAATTTTATACAAAAAATCATGCTAAATAACACTATCTAAATAAAATAGTGTTAGAATAAAATGCTGAGAATTGTATCTGAAAAAAATAATCTTGCTAGTATTTTTAAATTCGCAAACACATTCTAGTTTGTTGAAACCGCTACGACTGTACAAAGCAAATCCAGCTAGACCTTTTCAACAACTGAAAAGCTGACCTCCGATATCTTCCTCATTAAACCTGTAACACCCCTCCTCTTCCTCTCCATCCTCTCCCTCGTCCAACTGCATACTCGCAAAAGAAAACTTGCTATTTACCACCGGAGACGAATTGATTCCGTTTGAATTGACCGAATTCATAGAACTTACTGCGCCTGGGTTTCCGTACATAAGGGGTTGACTGTAGATGCTGCTTCCTGTGTCTGAATCGCCATCGCTAGTATCTGTACCACTGCTCGTCGACCCATCTATCATTTGAACGGGTTGATTGTTGTTTGACTGCTTCCCTTGGCGACCGAACATGCGCTGGACAGTATTGGATCGAACCTGACCTGGCACCCTTAGGTTCGCCTTGTGATTCCCATTTATGAGCATTTTGCGTTCCAAGGGAGCCGAATTTGGAGTTTGGGTCAAGATATGCTGCGCGTGAACTGGTGTCGAAGTTATCTGGCTAAGAATGAACGGATCGGTATCGGAACGGTTGCGCATGTTGTTATTGTTAAGCGCCATATGCGGCCGATTGGACAGGATTGGCGAATAGCTGCCGTAATGGTTGAGTTGTGGCAATGGGGGAGGGGTCAAAGGTTTTGGGATGTTTGGCGTTTCCATGGGGACAACACCGGGGCGTTTACTAAAATAATGCCCGCCGTCATCCCAGCGTGGAGGCGTGCGCGGCTGGTTGGTTGTCATTTCGTGGCTTAGCGAACTGGTGCGCGGGTGGAAACTGCTGATGATGGGGCTAGAGCACTGGCTACGAGTTCCTGTGCCTAGAGGTCGACCTAACGCAACTCCCCTAATATCTCTTCCTTGGAAAATCTCATCCAACAACGTGCTATGGAGAGGGACGCGACCATGGAATGAGCTACCGTTTGGTACAACCTCGTCATCATCGGGTAGCTCATGGGCAAACTTGCTAGGCGACTGACCATTGTTTCTCATCAAACCCTGATTGGTGTGGTAGAACCCATTCACCGCGCCAAAAAGACCGCCGACCTGCCCCGCGTTTTGCTGTGTGCCATAGTCCTCGTTGCAGTGCCCCCTAGTGGCCCGACTGCTTTTCTTCACGTCACATTCGCTGTCTATGTCGCTGCAGTCTATGTAAGGGATAGAGGAGCTGCTGCCTTTGTTAGCCCTGCAGGATGGACCTGGATTAAGGAGGTGCTGGTCCGGCGCCGACCCGTTGCCGTGGTGATTTGGCGGTTTGGACGGTGCCAGGAAGTCGTGGAATCCGTTGTTGTTGGTCACCGCGATCTGCTGGCTGCCATTCAGTTCGGATAGTCTGGTGGAGTCGGTCTGGTCCGCTAGCGGGATGGACATCGCACTCTGCAAAAGACACACCATATAGTATGCAATGAGTTTTACACTGCTACAAAATTAAGCATTTTTTACTAAAGGATTAACTGGGATATTAGCTATTATGGCATGTCTAAAAACTGTTGAACAGGAAGTTAACTTTTATTCCTGGAATTGTAAAAAGTATTTAAAATGTGAGAGCGTAAACAAATTAACTAAAGAGTTTCCCCATGGTCAGACAGCATAACATTTGCAAAACTGATGTACACAGAGTTTGGAACTGTGACTGTCATTGTCTAAGAGAAGTACTACATACACCAATGACGTTAATTTGGTTTTCTGATAATTTATGTTATGTTTTCATACCTGACAGTTTCGACTGTTCACTAGCGGTCTTCCTCAGAGTTTAAAGAGGCAATGGAAATACAGAAATGTGCCCACGGGACTATAAACCGGGACGAGGGGGCTTTTATACTCTCACACACCTGAGATACGAGCCTAAGGAAGTCGGACTGCAGATAGAAATGTCATCCTACCTCCACCAGTACGAAGACAGCGCCAAAAAATTGGAAAAATCAGCTGATCAGACATGTCACAGCCACCTCATGTGACCACTCTGAGGAAGACCGCTAATGAGCAGTCGAAATTGTCAGGTATGAAAACACTCTTGGTCTGACAAAAGAACCTAATAACAGAGCTACATACAAGTATTCTCAAAGCAATATTATTACTGAAGTTGGTATTTTAGGTAGATAAATATTCACTTTCAAGGTAAAAGGATACATTAAAAAGAAAGAACGTGATGAAAAAAAAGACAATTTCAATATCACCATCTGTTGCTGTTTAAATGTCATTACCTCTCTTGGCACTTGTGACCTGAATGAGGAGGACTGGGAGGGCACGGCGCTATTGGACAGAATCTTACTGTGCTTCCTGGGGCGAGACAAATACAACAGCTGTGGTCAGAGCGAGTTCAGCCAGTCAGAAAACAAACTTTATTACTGGTCTGGGCTCATCGCACTAATTGGAGCTGATTGGTTACGGCCCAGACTGCATTAGGGGAAATTGGGCAAATGGAAAATGTTACGCAAGTTGCCCATTTAATGCTGTTTTACCTTTCAAATGGGATCTTCTTAACATCGGAGTCTTTAACGTAATCAATGATCTGCTTTTGGGTTCGACCACTATAAAAAAAAAAAAAGCAACAGTTAGTTAACAAAGTAGGAAAAAACATGTATAAAAATAATAAAAGTAAAATACAAAAAAATATGTTTACATTAAAATGAAATCAAATTGAATAAAATAATAGAGAAGTTAATAAATTTTACCTGAAGCGGAAAGAGGACCCTCTCGTAAAAAGAATAGGCTTGGGTTTGGGTTTTGGCTCCTCAAAAAGTCTGAAGAAAGCATGATATTCTACACAAATCTTCCAGAAAATTTTACAGCAATCCCGGCTGGCCATGGCAAACTCCAGAGTGTCATGGTGGGCATTTTGCTACATAAAAACACATGAAATTGTGTAATTTATGGTAAATACAAGGGAACATTTTAAAAGACGCTATTGACTTACAGCGGGGTCTGCTCTCAGCTTGATAAGAAACCTTTTGCGTTTGAAGCTGAGTTTGCGAATCCTGGACCAATTGAACGCATTTATTTTCAGGTACCCCTAAAAAGAAAAAAAGTTACATATTTACAAGAAGGATTTGGCTGTTTACAATGAATTTCCATCCACATGCTCTTTTGATTAACAAACTGCTGATCGCAACATTATGCAGTAGGATCTGGGAAGACTGTAAAACTTAATTGTCCAAAATGCTTCATCAGCTATTTTTTTTTTCCAAGGCAGAGAATATTGCAGAAAATGAGAAAATATATGGTAAATCTATGCTGATGGACATAATGAGGTCACTGTGGTCAAATCTCCCCAACACCAGTTCATTAAAATAGCCTTTACTTGACTCTATATACTCGACCTGTAGCCTTTAGTTGTTATGGTAGGAAGCAAGACTTAAAAATAGCATTGCTTTAACACCTAGAAGTGCTAAAGCTACACTGTAAAAGCTATGTGATAAATTCCAATGACAATTTTATCTTGGAGAGGTGGCACATAACTAACTGGACAATTTTGCTTAAGTATTACATTACAAAGTTAAATTACAAGTTAAATTTACAGAATAAAGGTGGAAATAGCAAAAGTAGTAGTAGCAGATAAATAACTACAATATTAATCTTATCTGTACTTGGAAATATTGATTAAAGATTCTAAAATTCAATAATTTTAAAATTTTACCTGGAAAACTAGCACCCCGGTGTGAGCCACTGACAGGTTAAGCTTAGTCCCCTCTCTGTCCTTCGCCGGGTGTAGACGAATGCCATACATCTCCAAACGCCGGGCAATTTCCAGCAGTTGGTAGTCTGATTCAGCGGGTGTCTGCCCACTGTGGAAATAATCAATATTATACTTTGACCACTGGCATGAAAATGATAGCAGAAACTGAAAGTCTGATGAGATTTTAATTCAATCTTGCTTTGAGTAGTTTAATGAGACTATATTGTAAAGTTTTAATTGGTTTAGAATTTTGTGATTTTCTGGTCTAGAATTTTTTGACTCTCTGCTTTTCAAAGAATTATTTCACTCCGTTCAGTTCACTTATTTTGAAGGATATCTGAGAAAAATATACTGAAACTTGTCAAAATTTACCTTGAAAAAAAAAGACCAAATATCTAGTACAAACAACAAAAAATTCATTGATCAAAACTCTAGAAATTCAGACCTAAATTAAGAACTCATTCCAATAAAAACAACTCAAATTAAGATAGCAGATTCAAGTCGTTTTAAGTCATGTACTGATTTTTGCAGTGTACCAAGAAGAACTGTGCATTTCAGGAAACGTTGAGCTAAATTAAGTGGTGGTAAAAGCAACAAATCGTCTAACAATAAAAATAACAGAATCAGATGGCAGGGGTGAAAAATTAGCCACAAAAGCAGCGTGTTTCCCCTCGAAATCTGAAAATGGCTTCCTGTTTCCTGTATAGGCAGCTGAATGAGCCACTTCCTTCCCATGTAGGGCGAGATGGAGGTTTTTTGTGGTTCACAGCGGGGAAGCCATCAAAGCAGCCACAAAGTTACCGCTGTGTGATAGATTAACACAACACAAGTGGTTTGGGCTGTAAAGTTGTTGTCTGTAGTGAGGCGGCAATGACAATGCTGTTCTATAAAAAGAAAGATAAATTATGTGTGCAAATGGGAATAATGTAAATAAAAATCCAGTGAAATCTAAATATTATGGTGAAACAAATAAAGGGGTAGTAAAATGCTAGCTTTTTCATACTCCTTTTTAGAACTGTTTATGTCAAGTAGGCTGTCAGAAAAGAAAATGATAAGATCTATATTTGCGTTTTATCCAAGAAAATAAATGAAATACTCAATTAAGTCATTCTACAATTTAATTATTACAATGCTAAGTAGGACTATTAGGACTACCATTATATCCAAATCTCTCAGTACGATATTATCACGATATACATCTCACAGTACGAAATTTATTATGTTATTTTGGATATTTTTTAATATAATTGTAGATGAGACACTTTTTTGCTTTTAAAATACCTTGACAAGATTTTGGTATGAATTATTTCCATCATAAGAATCCCAAGAAATCAAGTAAAAAACATATTTCTTCATGTTGTCTGCACTAAAATGAATCATGGGATATGTAGTTCCCTATGTTTATAAGCTGTTGCTACTGTAAAACAATGCATTTAAGCAAAGAAACTTGTAATTCGATATATTGTGACAGCCCACAATATTATTGTGAGACTTTTGACGATACGATATCACGATATTTGGGTTATTGTTACACCCCTAAGGTCTATCCAAATAAGTTGGGGAAAGGACACAAAAGCTAAGGGTAAATTTATTGATGGAAAAATGGCCCCAGCCACATGAATACAGCTCATTGTTAAGATTTTAATTGGGATTGATTATATTTATTGTCACTGGTATTATAGATCTTGGGATGGAACGTCAAAAAATCGGAATCCGTCATGTTAGAAAGTTAAAAAGTAAACTCTAAATAGTGTCAGAAAATCTCAAAATGAACAGCACGTTTAGTATTTTTAGCATTTTAAAATCCCCATTGGTTTTATTTTGATTGTTTCTACACCATATGGTCACCTTTTTTTTTTCAGAATTATGTTTGCTTAATATTTATTCATATATATAAATATTTTTTCAAGATAAATTAGTTAATATAGGCCTAAATAAATGGTTCCCATCTGCAATAGGCCCAAAGCACTGGACACCCCACGCCAGCGGGAGTGCAGCCGGGCAGAGATTAAAAGTGTGGTTACTATGGCGATAACCATCTTGGCAGGAAATGGACTTATGGGGTGGGTGTGATGGGCGCGGACATATTTGTGTTTGTGTACGCGTCAACGTAAACAGATAAATATCTGTGGGAGCCGCTGCTGGACGCACGCTAATGCTAATGCTAGGTGTTGACGTGTAGGCTAATCTCTTGTGACACCTCGGTATGCTAGCCAGCCCACCTACCAGATTAACATCGTATTTGAAGATAATACACAAGGCTTTAGCAAACACTGTTATTTCTTTAATACCCTAAAAAACCCTAATTTATTAGTTCTAGACTATTACAATTTAGTGTTTAAAAATCTAAAAATATTTGGGCTGCAGTATTATCAAGTCTGTATCTATTTTGGAAAGGATCGCAGAAAGTCAGCGCTCGACTCTTTTGTGATCTCAGGAATCATTTGAGGTCAGGTTTGTTTTTCATGGTGTAGGTGGTGAAATAAAGGTTCGTTACGGGGTCTAAGCTTTGTCAAAAAATAAAGTCTGTTTTTAGTGGGCAAAAAAACTCAGAAAAATACATCTTGTAATATGCTTGGAAAAATAAATGTCCAGTTGGATGTCTTTGCTTCAGGGCTGCTTCTACAAGCTTTCGATCAATATTGAGGCTACTTTAATAATGAACACACAGCTACAAATAGTATTAGATGTATCACAAATTGTTGCCAAAAACATATAGTATATTTGCAAAGTCTTTTTTTTCTACCAAATATTGTAATTTATTGTATTGTAATTTTCTGTAAATGTCACCAAAAACATTTTTCAAACACATAAGCCAACCTAACATTGACTCTGTAAGGCTGTGCTGTCCTCCCCTGCACCAAATACTCACGCGTGCTTGCGGTGACAGTCCATAATCTTGTCCCTGATGGCGTCTTGGTCGGGCAGATATTTATTGTGTAGGAGATGCTGCCAGCTTTGTGTCTCATCGAAGTCCCCTATCTCCGCTGAGGCATGGAGAGAGAGAAAAAGAGAAAAAGAAGGATAGAGAGAGAAAGGAGAGAAAGAAAGAAAGAAAAGAAAGAAAGAGGGGGAGAAGAGAAATACATAAAGAGAGAGAGAAGGAGAGAGAAAGTTGAAGGAATGAGAAAGAGTAAGTAAGAAAGAGAGAGATTGCAATGAGGGAGAAAAGAAGAGAAAGAGGAGAGAGACAGAGGAAGAAGGATAGACAGAAAGAGAAAAAATAGCAAGAGATTTATTATTTCAAGGCAAGGAGTGTGGGGGAGTGGGTTACTGTCAAGGTTAGACTCAATATTCTTCATTCTGAGCGGATCCACTATCTCTGTACTGATGTGTCCGTCCCCATCTGCTCAATATAAGCAACAATAGGCCGTCTCGGAGCAGGCCACCTGCAGCTGCACGTATAGCGCCCGGCAGCACCTCGGTTGCCATGGTGACGCGGCCATATGGGATGTGAGCACGCGGCACCACAACCTGCCACAGTCTGCGGGGCACGGTTCAATCAACGCTGGATAGGTTACATCTGCAGTTCAATCGAATTTGTCATAGTAACAAAAAAAGGAGAGCAGAATGCAATTTCACTACTACAACACATGGCATTTCTATAAAGCCAGATGTGAAAATTATGTTTAAATTGTAAATGTAATGGTTATGGAAAGGATTTGCTATTTTTTGACATCTCTAAAGGTTGCCGAGTCCAAAAACATGCCTGCTTTAACCACTACCATCAAATTTATTTATTTATTTTTTTTACAGATAACTACAAGAAATAATTTTTTACTGAGATGCCCTTCAACTAATTTAACCTACCAATTATTTGAAATTACAAATCTGTTTTTATTATCTCCAAGCTAAAAATCCTTCCTGCCCTAGCACTGAATTAATGAGATGTTTACTTGCAGAATCAAAACTAGCTCCTTTTTGTCTCATAAATATCATAGTTTCAAATTTGATGTTCTATTGTGATGTTTTAAAAGCCACGAGTTTGCAAAAATGTTAGTATTATGTTTAATACTTACACTGAATAATATGGGAAACCATTAGGGCTGCACTTGTGTCATTGCAAACAAGATGTCCACACGCCAGATCCCGTTTAACCTGGAGCGCAAACAAATACCTAAAAAAAAGAAAACACATTAAATTATGACCTTATTCCACCATTTATTTGTTTATTTATTGTCTCATGTACATTACAAATTACAGATCTAACAACAGCTAATTTAAATATTCCCATTTGAAAACTATAAACACAGTGAAATTGCTTGGCGGCAATTTGCAAGTCTCAGCAGACAGGGTCAATTCTATGCTAGCTGAATAAATGGGATAAAATTGCGTATTAGCTATAAACTCCCTAATAAACTTAATGGGCCTTAGCTGCATTCTAATAGCTTTTTTTGTGTAGAATGTACATTGTTACGATTGCTGGAAGACCACAGCTATTTACAAGTAGTTTAAAATATGCAGTGTAAAAGCAGAACATGGTATTTTTTACATCTTTGCGGGTTGTTTCCACGGTGATACAGTAAGTAAACTTAACAAAACAAATCATGTCAACTTCTTCTTGATGGATGAATAAATCGGCATGGACAGAGCTTAGCAGAATAGTGTCCAGCTGAGGCAGTCGACCATGATGAAGTGGTCACAGTGTTTACTTGTCTTTCGTTTTAAATAGGCCCAAGTGGATACAAAGCGCCGCAGACACAACTTCCTGTTTGGCTTATGTTTCAGATATTATGAGAACTAAAGCATCATGGGAAATAGCAAAGAGTCTGATCAATCTTTTTACTTCCAAATGTCATGTTATAATATTTACTCTGATGGTATAGTACAACAAAAGTGTATGAATTCAAAACACTACGTGAGCATTAATCTTCTATGTTCATATTTAAAGCTCCTACTACAAATATTTTTACAAGTTTGCTTCCCACATTGAAGGAACTCTTTGCTTCTTTGTGTTCTTATACATGTTGCCAACATTAAGCAGCTATCCAAGGACATGAAAACTTATAAAAAGATAATTTAATTACACGTACTTGAACTGCAAACCATAAAGAGCACCTTTTCCAAGCATAGTTGAAGGTCTGACGCTAAACCATCATTAAAATAAAGTGTCTTCTAATTTACAAAGTGCCTAACAGTAACTGACCTTGTGAGTTCCTCCATGAGTTGCGTGTGGTCGGGAGGGAAGAACTTGACCACGAAGCGCAGGATGGTGTTTCGGGGCCCTGGAGGAGGAAGTAAAAGGGAAGAGGAGATGGTTAGATTTAAGAGGGCTGTGCAAATAGTGCGGTAGGTAGAGAAAGGGAATCTGCCATTTGTCGGCGCATAATAGGTCATTAAGTGTTTCCAAATGTGGAGGATTTGTGCAAAGCAAAACTACCGTATGACTATGAGAAGAAGTGAGCATTATTAGTTATTGAAATGTATAAAGCTATACTAATGTTATTACCTTTTAACAAACCAGTATTGATATAAGAGGTTTGGAAAAAGATGCTGACAAATATGTGGCCTAAGTTTAATTCATAGTTTGTATCATCAAGTATGTTTTTGTAACTAAAAGTGAATCTGACCAGTGTTGAATGAATATGTCCACTGTTTTGAAGTCATCATTGGGTTCATTTAAATGGCCCGTAAAAATCTGATTACTAAAATATTCAGATAACCCAGTAATGAGGTCTGATTTACGCTGTGTTTACATGGATTTTATACTAACTGCTGCATTTGGGAGATAAATTTTTTTGTCTTTGCCACATTAGTTTTACCCTATTTGCTTAGTTTTCCTTGTCAAATTCTGCACTGGTGTGAATAATCAGAGAGAAATCAGTTTGCTCATATCAGATCTAATGACAATCACTAGCTCAACTGAAATTTGATCAAAAGCTGATTTCCAAATAGCTGATTTTCACTTATTTTTCAATGAATTTGAAATGAAACCATGAATATTTAGGGACCCACATGTGATAATTTTATGCATTTTTTAAAATTTGGTAACAGTGGCAGCACTGAACCCTTTAAATTCTAAACCCTTTATATTGCATCCTCATGTTCTCCCAGTGCTCTGTTCCAGGATATTACTGACATACCCACATGTGGTACATTTAAAAATTCCTTCCATGGGCATATTTAAGCTACTTACTTCTGATCTGTTTGAGAGTAGGCTTCAGCAAATCCAGCCAAACCTGCAGGGATGACAAGACAACACATTTATCAATACTGATAGACATCAAGCTGGGGGTGTTCTACATATATGTCTATGGTGTAATGTTCAGTAGTTACCAAGATGACACAATGCGCACATTAGCAAACTGTCAAAAAAGTTTTAAGATCTCTCTTTAAAACTCAAACCTTGTGATTTTGGCCTTAAAATGTTTGTATTAACCCGCTTTACATGATCCTGGGATATTTAATTCACCATTTGATCAGTAAAAAAAAATCCTATTCCTAATAAGGCCCTGGCGCCAAATTCACTCGTGTAACCGCTGGCATCGCGAGCTTCGTTTGAGTGAAGCCAAACGCTGTGGGTGACGTCACCCTTGCTTAGTTCACTGCTTTATACTGTACTGTTATTTGAGAGGGACTTGTTCAACAGTACAAATCAGCTGTCCTGTTGTAGTTCCAGCTAAGCCTAGTCTAGTCAGGTAGTGTTAAAATAAAGCTCAAATTAAAGTCTAAGAAAGCCTCAGACAGAGCAGTGCCTCAGATAGCTGCAAATTATTAATAATAATAATGATAGCGAAGATTTTTATAGATTACAAATTCAACCACTTTTCTGTCGTAGTTACATCTATTTTGTCATTTACAGCCACAGTGGAGTTCATAATTCCTACCACATCTTGACAAATCACGGCGCTTGGCTTGACCTCAGTCTTTTACTACCCGTACGTAGACAATGATGTCACTTACTATATCATGGCGTTATATTATTTGTTCCACTGCTTCCCTACAATATTTGGTGATTCAGTCCATCTGCCTTCTGGATTCAAAGCCTCTTCCCCCAGTGACTGACAGATATAGCCTATGGCACGGACAACCCAGTGCGAGTGTTATTACAACCAGCTGTCAGTATAGGAAAACAGGTTTGTCCGAGGAATTCAGGTGGAAATTATGATGGAAGATGAAAGAGAGATAAGATCGATTTGATTTTGATCTGTGGGTCAACTTGCATAGAGGAATTTGGGGTCACAATTCAATTTCAAAGCTTGTTTTGATAATGATAAATGGTGACAGCAGGTCTATTTTGAAGGCCAATTATAATCTGAGATAAATCGCTTCATTTAAGAATATTTTGACTGGCTGAGAAGAATTTTGTCAGTTAAGAATAAAAATAGATTGTGTTTTCCCCAAATATATTCCATTACACTCGATAATTTATTTATTTTTTGCACATCAAGTACAATTTAAAGGTGCATTATGTAACTTTTCTAATCTCCATAGAGATGTTTGAAGTTATTATTTAATTATTTAAGTTATCCATCTTCCATGAATTAGATTACTGGTGTTTTTATTGCTCAAAATGCCTTGGAAAATCATGCATTATTACTGTAAGCGGGGTCGCCTCTCTGCAGATCTAACCTTTACCTTGGCCTATTGGTGTAGGGTGGGACATTCCAAGAAAAGCAATAATGTTTCCATGAAGACAAGAAGGTTGCAGACTCTTCATGAAAGTTACATAGTGCACATTGAAGTAAATATTTGGCTCTCTGTGCACCACCAGACTAGCCTGATTCATCAAACCAGTTTCACTTCATGGAAACCGTCTGACCTTGCAGCATTAGAATTTGTTCACTTGATGGTAGGCGGATACTTTTTTTATTTAACAAATCGCTGCTATTTGGTCATGATGTACAGTATGCAATGTGTCACTAACGGGGCTAACTGGTATATTAAGCTTTTCCCAAATCATGTAGGAAGAAGGCCAATAATGTCTTCCCTCTTGATAAAATTTACCAAACATTCTCTTTGTTCTGGCTTAAAATCCTTGATTTTGGGAATATTGCCAAACAAAGAATGTATGGCTCTTCACTGATTGGCTGGTGTCCGGACTCACACTTTCGGGGTTCTTGCAAACCGTCTAGTGTATTCTGATTCCTGACCTAGTCGCTGGAGAGAAATGAAATTGAGCGGAGGCACTAGGTGGCGCCAGCCTGGCTACCATCAGACCTAACCTGGATTTAAAATCAGATTATACCAGATCCAAACAAGTACCAGGTCTTGAGATAGGCTAAAACCATGGGTACAATAATTCTTCAGTTTGATGGTTCTATTATATAACTTACATTTTTTATTTCAAACTGAAAAAAATATGAGCAAACAACTCAATAAGTCAATAAGTTATTTGCAGTGTCTTTAATACTGTTGACGCACAAATAATGGACAAATCATGTGTTTCTTAAGATAGAACAAATAAACAAGAGGATATTGTTGGAAGTCCCCACAGGGCAAAAAAGTAATAAAAATTTTATTGCTAGCTTTGTAACTTTTCTTGGTTGTTTGACTGCCTGCAGAATATAGAGCTTTTATCTGGAAATCATTTTGAGATTTACCATCATCTTGCGGTGATCTTGGTACTCCAACCCGAAATAGTCCCCTTCGGTGAGGTTGAGATGAACGCATATCAGGTCAAGTAGGTATTTACCGGTGGAGCGTTGCTGGAAGAGACAAAAACAGCACTAGATTAGCATCATTAGCGTAAAAACCAGCATAATCAACATGAAATTGTTAATAATACATGGTTATCTGATTTGCAAGCGAGACAAAACACACCTGGATATAGCTGTTTTATGGTATCACTAACAAGCTCTCCTTTCACTTAACAAGGGACTGACCTTTGACCTTTGGATGCGGTATGAGCTTAGGGTGAGGGGACTAATGAATAGCTGCAGGGTGCAACTCCGATACACCCACAACACTCTGGAAAAAGAGGCTCATGCACCGTCGATCACTGTTTCCTAGGCTTTATAATTATTAAAATTCATATAAGTGCCAAGTAAACATCGTAAATCCAAAAGTGAAATATAATTAGATAGAACAAAGCCTTAAATTACTATTGTAAAACTTGGCCGATGCTAGCTTGGATACCTCCCTATCAATTTGCAAGGCTTTTGAAGATATGTAGTGTATTATTATAAGAGGGGAGAGAGAGTGCGATAAGGCTCCAACCCGCTCCAGTTATAATGATAGACATTCCTCCTTATGACACGTATGCACAGGCACAAACAGATGACTATCACATTGTATAGAGTGAGACTGCATAGCTTCAGGCTTCACTACCAGGACACAAATTATCCAATTAAAAGGGGCTGGGTGGCATTACTCAGATCTACCATATTTGTTTTTCTTGTGTTGATATACTATGTTACAGTTAGTAGTGTTGGAAGTGCAATAATGTTAATGTAAAATTTGCACACTATGACAACATTTGCACTGAAACAAATCCACGTATCAAGTATCGGAAACAATTTGCGTCCATACACATCGTTTCTGTGTCTACAAGCCTTCCCTATCCACACAGCTTTGAGCATATTTGTTTACATTTTACAGAAACAAAACTTAAAACCGCATGGCTAATTTGCATAAACTAAGTTCTCCAGAAAGAGCTCACTATTGTGGTTGATGCGGTTCAGCTTCTGTCGCACTAAAGGACACGACTCAGTGGATTACATGTGTTCTTTCTGTGACAGACGGGTGTTCTGCTGATGGTGAGTCTGTTCTGTGCTTCTGTCACGTTGGAGATGATTGATGTTAAACTCTTCAGAGGTTTTTTTTTCTGCAGGTGATACGCATAGACTGTATATATGAATGGACATATATTCTAGACTCTTAGCGTTTTGGCGGTGAATTGTTTTGCAGCACATAGACCTACATCAGAGTATCAGCGTATCAACGTTTTTGGGCGTGCACACGGTGACGGATCAGATCCTCAGATGAATTCGTGGGAGCTGGCGACACCAGATCGTTCCATCTCTGGAGCCGTTTTCAATCAGATTAGTGTGGACAAAAACTGCATCCGCAACGAAAATGACTCGAATACGTACTATTATGAACGGGGCCTATAACTCCACCTCAGTTGCTTATCTCTACAGATTTTTGCTTTTCCTGGAATGGTCCACAGCATGGAATTAAAATATCTCCATGGAGACGGCAGATGAAGTTACAAAGCTTCAACTTTTACTTTTACAAAACAACCAACATTCTCATATATACCAAAGTAGAGTTGTCAAAAAGTATTTCAAATCAGATACTAATAGATACTAAACTATTATTAGAACTAGACACTCATTTGAGCAAGAATCAATACTAAAAAAGGTCACAGGATGGAAATTAACCTTTCCTGAATAGCTTTAGAATTATCTTGAGCTGTATCAGAACAAGTATGAGAGCACACAGACTATTAGACGCCGATGGACCACTATGAACAGACCTGGATGACTGAAGGATTACACAAATATAAGACCACATGGTAATATAAAAGAAAGTATTTTTATTTAATGTTGAAAATTACATTTTTTTTTCTGAATTAATAGTGTTTATTAGCATTGTGCATCTGAATCTGTATTATGCCTCAAGTCTATTTCTCAGTATCAAAATCGAGGTTGAAATTTTTGTATCGTGGCAAACACATGACATCAAGACCAAGGGATTCAAACTACCAACCTCAGATGGCTTTGCTTTTGGAACAACCACAAACCAAAATGCATTTCATTTTAATTTAAGTAACCCATATTGCCTTAAAGATCTTTCAAATGGATACACATAAAAATAACACAGTAAAACTTTCCTCCCAGACAAATTGCTAAATTGTTTAAGCCAGATCGCTGTTAAGATAAGCCATAGGTCTCTTCTTGTCACTCAAACTCCTCCTTTCCCTCATTATGTATAATTTTGTGCTTCAAGTGAGTGTACGCAGATGTATTCTAAAGACATGGCCCCTTGTACAGTTGTTAAGGCAATTTGCCTAAGATGATGGCAACATTGGGGTTTATGAGATCACTTCCGCAAGTTTGACCTACAACCTATGCCCTCCCCATGTCAAAATGAAATCCCCAAGCGAGCAAAACAGTCATAGGGTTCAAAACTAACTACGTGCACCAACCTGGATGCCATATTTTTAAAGCTGGATGTTCTACCAAAATGTTTCCATGCAACATTTAACTCATAGCAAAGTTAAAATTGGCATAATCAAACGGAAACCAGGGTGGAGTTGGAATCTTTTCATTCTTTCGGTCTTTTAATCCACAAAATCTCTACAAGCTTCCTCATTGACATTACAAAGGATCACATGGGATTTCTGAACCTGTCTATCTATATTTAAATTTTTGAACTGCTTTTGTTGCTAGGGAATAGGACGGTGTGAATAGGAGTTGACTGAAGGGCTGACCATAGGAAAACAGTTGGTTGCGCACACACGGTAGCCAGATGGGACAGAATTGGCTAGCCTCACACTTGACTCATTGTTTTTCTTTTCTCCTCCGTCTTCCGTCCAAGCCTGTCCACAAAAGGTGAACTGCATAATCTACTGTGAAAATATGTCATGCTGGTCGTGCCAGTAATGCTTTGAGAGACATATGGAACTTGTTTGTTTACTAGTATTTTGTAGATTTAGACAACAACAAAGCTTGTAGTGACTCTAATATTTGAATATTTCTAAATATCTCTATTTAGATGTATTGATGAAGTTTGATTTATGTCAGTGTTGAAATATATTCTGAATCCAAACCAGTTTCAAGCAGTTTGGGGATATTTTGGAATATTTTTTTTCTCTGGCTGTACCCATTATTTTCCATCTAATTAAGGAGAAATCAGTTTTGCTCTAGTACAGAAATATTGTAAAAGCAGCTATTAGGGTCAAAATGAGACCAATGTCTGTAGCTTACATCTAATTGTAGGGGACTTTATTCTCCGCAAAAGAGGAACTACATGTTAGCCTGCTAATGTTTGTTAGCTCTACTGTCACAGTCTCTGAAATTTGTGAAAAGTTTATAAGTTATTGCAGTGAATAAATGGGACACATGTGAACAATTAAAATTAAGTATTTCTGATGTTTTAAATTATAATCTGCAACAGTACATTTAACTCATTGCACATAAGGGACAGTTGTGAAATAATATTAATTTGGCCTGTATTAACTTGCATAGTGTATTTTGCAATTGTGGTTTTATTTGACCATACACATGGCCTCAAAAAGTAGTAATTCCTAATGTGAATCGACAGCCAACACATGAGCTATAATGGACCCCCTAACCTTTAAGTTGGTCCCAGACTCCATTCAAGCATGGTTTAAATTCTGTCTCCGTCCCACTGCGAGTCCCATTGGACACGAGGGCTTAATGAAACAGGAGCAGAATCCCAAGTATGTTTGGACGCTGAAGCAATTTCCTTCAGTATCATTCAGTTTGCCCTCCTCAATAACTGCCCTAAGCCTGTACGCGTGCAGAGGAGAGATATCCGGTAACACATCGGAGTAATGGGAGAAAGTGGAACGTAAAGGAAAGCCTATTGAGTGGCAGTGGTGAAAACTACATATCAATAGCTGTGGGAAATAACTCTGAGCTTGTGTGACTGGCTGGATATAGACTCTTATAGAATGCATTACAAGTATTTTCTATTAAGTTAAATCTAAGCATCACAGTCATCAGTTATCAATACATTTAATCTAAAATTAAACTTCTATTTCATATGAACACTACTTTCATGAATATACTTGACCCATTTCATTGCAATAGTGAACAAATATACTTTCAAATAAAAAGATAGTACAGCATATAGTCAATATAAATTTCCAATTCCACAAACAGATTTAGAATTTTTTTAATGAAACTTCAAATAGGGCAGCAAGATTAATCTCAATCAAACTGGAATTGCAAATTGAATCGCCAAAACTGTAATTTTTGAAGTACCATAATAACAAAATATCTTAATTTATTTTTCATAAAAACTAACCCAGTTTGTACAAACATGTTCTGAAATCTGATTTGTTTATTAGTTTATCAGTTCTGCTAGTCAGAAAAATCACAATTACACCCCAAATTACATCCCAAATTATTCATCCCTACCTTCAAATCTGGGTTATTATAACATTTACTACTCTTAATCTTTCATAATTTGTCATAAAAAGATATATTCTTGATATTCTAGCTCAGTGCCTAGACCACAGACAGAAGAAACAATAGGCCTACTTAGAAATCAAAAACATAAGAAATCAAAGCTAAATAAATAAATCAAAGAACTGGAAAAAAGAAAAACTAGTGTGAGCGCAAAGAAATTTGATGACAAAAGGCGAAGTTGAGACTTGCTTTTAGTTGAAAAACTAGCCATGTGAACTGGGTTAAACCTGAGGTGCACCACAGTCGGCTTGTATAAAAACAACTTAAAGGTATGTCATGAGCACAGTGCAGAGGTGCTAAATGTTTATTTTGAGCCAAGTCAGATTTCACAAGTTTATTTGAATTCACATCTTTCAACAGCGTCTGCAAACACGAGAAGTCATGTGCGCCCAGACCTAGCCACAGATCATTGAAGATGTAACGTCAAACTGAACAAGGCCGCCTTTCAGTCCGCCAGCGTTTCAGATAGGCTAATACCTGCTAGCTCTGATCTGATCGCTATAGTTCCTAATCCCTGTAGGTCACACTTTAGCACGCACGCACAG